CTACAATTGCAGACTTATTGGCAAAGTAGAACAATAAAACTTATCTCTGGAAGGTTTTCCACGCCTGACATTTCACGACAGGTCAGATGCACTTCCTGTCCGTCGTCAATGGGCAGTCTCCATTTCCAGTCTCCATTCCCAGAGCCAGATACAAAGCCCAGAATGAGTGACCAGTTGGAGACCGGAGGTGTCTGCAGAGTCGGGCATCCCTCGACAGGTGTCACGGTGCCGTTATGATAAGGAATTCATTCATAACAGGATTCCTCTCCCCCAGCTACACAGGACTAGAGAGAAGCCCTCTTTTCAGGTTTACAGACACACTCACAGCAACTGGATGGCAATTTTTTGAACATGTTGTAAATAATAGAGCTTTAGAGTGGACCTAGAAATAGGGAATCCTCAAAGAGAGCCCATTCAGATATCCTGCCAAAGGATAAGATTGTGAAGACTTGCCGGCAAATTGTCTCCATGTTAGTACTTCTAATACTTGAGAAAATTTTTTAAAATGTAAGTTCATTTGCATTATTCCAAATAGGATTTATGGAGTATTTCATAGTTCCCAGAAGAAACAGAGTGATACTAAAGACAGATTCTTCTGGCACACGGTGTGCACCAGTGAGCAGCTAGTGAAGTTTCGTACAAAGCAGGAAACACGCAGAACATCACCCGAATTCTCCTCAGTCACACAACAGGCAGCGTGAAGTGAGGTGCCCTGGAACTTCCTGTGATTTATTCCCTAAACTCCATTCCCTTCAAGAAAAGGGAAAGAGCACTTGAGAAAATTATAATTTTTTAAACTCATATGTATAATCTACTGGAATTCTTTTTAGAAACTCACTTTTATTAGCAGGTTCAATGAAGGGGACTGAAGTTTGACACCTTACTCTTCTCTGTTGTCTCTAATGCAAAATCCATTTGCGCTGCCATCAATATGGGACTTTTTGTGACAACTGAAATTCATTTTAAGATCCATTTTAGGATTTTTTTTTTTTTTTTTTTTTTTCCGGAGATGCTGGAGAGTGACCCCTATCCTTCATGATGAGAACTGTGAGGAACAGTCAGTATCTGGAACACTGTGGACCGAGATTTAAGCTGAATCTCAGAAGTCATATTAGAAAAAGTAGGAAGAGAATGCTGGAAGCTTTGTGTATGACTTTACCATGATTCATTTCTTTGTCCGTCTGATCTGACTTGTCAGGTGAGGAACAGTGAGTTCCATCCTCCAGGAGGTAAGTCTAGCTTGAGTAAAAAGCCAGCCTGAGCTCTGCCGGAAGACCATTGGCTCTAGGGGACTGGCTCAGAGGTTGCAGCTTCTGGGTGTCTACACTTCCTACCCGTTAGAAATGCTTAACATTCCAATTCAGTGCAGGACAGCAGATTTCTGAGACTCCCTGTTCCATTTCCTCTACCCAGTTCTATCAACTTTGACAGAATACCCAGTCCTGAGATCACACGCCTCTAGACAAGAAAGCCCGCAGGGACGTGCATGCAGGTAAATAGTCATACCTACAGGAACAGCAAATTTGTCTGTCTGGGTTCATTTAGGATTTTAGAGCTGAATTTATGCCAGATTTGTGGGCATTTTTAAAATGACACTAGTCATCTTTAGGAACAGATTCTATTTTAAACAAAGGGCCTCGATTTAAACACCTAGAAACACCTTTGCTAACATAACTCAGATCTCCACGGTCCCCTGTACCCCCACTGTGACCCCCTATACTTCTCTGGGTAGTAAATGATGAAAATGTTGAAACTTGCTGCTGCTGTGTCATGAAAATTCTCTTCACTGTAAGATAGTCTAAAGGAACAAGGGGGGGGCTCCCACACCTCTTGGTACCCCTCTTTGCAAGGGAGAGGCCGTAAGCAGAAACTCGGCTTCATTCCTGCCGAGCGTAATGAGACGCAGCACCGTCTCTAACGCGTGCTCGCCGACCATAATTCCTATGCATGAGCTTTTCTCCCCCCTCCTGTGAAAAGGAGCATTAGCAAAAAATTTGGTAAAGGAAATCCTTTTTGCCTATGCAAAGGGATAATATTCTGCTTATAAATAAATATATAAATTTATATTTAAATAAATATATATATTTTTTGATTTATTTATTTATTTATATAAATAAAATCTTAACATGTCCTATTTAACTTGTTCGGCCTACAAGCATCATTAGGAACTGTCTATATATTCAAGCAGCTTGTATGTGACATTGTAAATAAGGGCCGATGGATCAAGGGATATTATTAAATAATTACTGAAAATATATGTGACACTGTGAGTTTCGTATTAACTACTGTATTTGTATAAGTACAGCAAAGCACAGGGCATGAAGAAAAATAAAAAATAAAATCTATTGGCTTGCAATGTGGTGATACACAGTATGTCTCAGAGTCGCACATTTAGATAAAAACTGTCCAGTGAGTAGTTACAATTACCAGATTCATTTCTTAATTAAGAAGAATTCTTAATACCTTGGGTCTCTAGCCATTCGTCAATGTGGCTTAAATAATATTATCACATGTTCTAAGTGGATAGGTCCAAAATGAAACTCTGAAATAAAAATGTTTGGCCCCAGAGACCAATACTGTGCACACTCAGTATTCGACCGTACATAGGAAGACGTTCTCGGAGTTATGGTCCCACCAAAACAGAAATTCAAAGCCGTCCCAGAGAAAGCACACAGGCAGGTGCCTCCGGTGACCCTGCTGTTCTTTTCTCCCCTTCTCTCATCAGCCCCAGCATCCTTCTTTCTCTGCAAGTTAGACTCCCACGATTCTAACCTTCCTTGTCCAGCGCAATTACCTCTTCCATGGCCTGGTCTCTTGAGGCCACCTGTCTGAAGCTACCTAGATAATCTCCCTACTTTCAATGACCTTCATCGCCCCTGGTCATTCCGCAAGCATTCCCTGAGCATCTACCTGGCACCCGTATTACTCCAGGTGTCAGGGATAAAGCAATGAATTAGTCAAATCCCTCCCTCCATCGAGTGAGAGAGGAGAAAAATAAGAAACAAAAGTCTAACATGACCAAAGATGGTAAATACCAAGGAGAAAAATCACACGTGAGGGGGTGGTATACAGTTCTGGAGAGGAGGGTGCCAACATCTCAGACCAAGACTGCAAGGTCTCAGAGTTCAGAGTCAGCAAACATCTGCACCTGAACACTTTGAAGCACTTAATAATATTCCCACCAAATCACCCTAAAATAAAAAATAAAAAGCTTTGTAGTAGAATATAGGTCATTATTTATGTTTTTTAAATCTAAATTCAAAATAGTTTATTCTGCACTAAATTAACAAATGCAAACCCACTGGTATTTTAAAAAAAGTGAAACAATTTTAGAAAACTCTAGAAACCCATTCTCCTTCTCTTAAATGGCTCTTTGTCCATCAAAACGAGATAGCAGGAGGGTGGCTAAAAACCTAACTTCACTTGTTGAGTAGAAAGCATGATACTTTTTAAGGCTCTAGCGGGATAGGACAAATCCAAGTCATCGTGGTGAGACAAAAAAGTTAAAGCACTCTGAGTTACTAAGAGAAGGGGAGATGCGGGAAGGGTAATGAAAAGATAACATTCCAAAACCAAAACAGCTTCCCTTTTTTATTGATGCTCAAGAACTGAACTGAGAATGACATTTAATAAGCAAAACACAAATGAAAACACCTAATCTGTATGTATAGTACATGTAAACATACACATTACTTGGATTTAATGACCCCAGTCTAACTACGAGAACAACTGTTTCCCCCACCTTAGAGTTGGCATTACTGTTTCTGGGAGTGTTTCATATTTAACAGGAAGAATTATGGACATCCAAGTTCAGAGTAGGCATGAATTTCATATTAAGGTATAAATAGAGTTTTAAAGAAATAAGCTGTGTAATAAAATAAGTTTACTTTTGAATTGCAATACAGGCATTTTCTTCGATCAATAAAAATATTCCTTGATTATAAAGCAGCCATACTTCGCAAATGTATATCAGGAAAATAGCTCTGGCAATATTTGAAATACCACACTTCTTTTTAAAAAGGCAGCAAAGCAACAGAATTTAGATTTTAAATAGTATATTGCAAAATAGTTCAACATATTATTTCTAAGCACAAAGCGAGCTCCCGTTCTAAAGGATACTTTCAATCTTATAAAGTAAATTGTTTTGATATTTCTGTGTAGTTTAAAGGCTAAATATCTACAATAAAAGATAAATCTTTACACATATAGGACATAAACGTCAATACATAGCACACACAACAGTTTACATTATATCACTCTGTTTTGAAGCCCAGTTTCTTAACAACGTGTGCTCAAAAAGAAATACAAAAGCATGATACAGTTCTGTAGCTTGGTGTAACAGGCTGAATTCCACAACAATGGAAAATAAAAAAACAGTGGAGATAGCAAACACAACTCCAGTCTTATGAATAGAACCAAAAACATTGAGAAATCATAAACATTTAAAAATGAGTAACTATTAGATTCTTCCTAACACATCTCAATTTACTCTCTTCTCTTAAATATAATTTTTCTAAATGTTTTTCATATCCCAGGAAGAAATAATGGCAAATCCTCCGCAAAGATGAAAGTGCATTATGTTCTGAAAGTGCTTCGTGTGTGTGTTTTATAGATATGTCCAATAAGGATTTAGACAAGTATGTGCAAAAAATTCCAATTATGACTTGAATTCTTAAACCTAACGATGGGGTTTTGTAGTTCATGCAGATGAGGCAACTGCCAGCTCGGAAGAAAACTCTGTGATTACACACTGTGTATAGAGGAAAGAGCACAAGCCCCGGGGTCAGGAGACCCCCATTCGATTCCGAGCTCTGTTAATCAGCTAGTGAGAGACCCGGGCAGGAGAGGGACTGCTCTAGCACTTCCGTTTCTCTCTCTGGCAATGGCTGAGAGGCTCCAGAAGAGCCTCGAAGGCCCACCCTACTCCAGGGTTTTAACGTCTGTCTAGATGAGGCATTCCTGAAAGGGCAGGTCATTTCACACCAAAAAATATGAAAAATACATGAATCATAGAGCCACTCTTCTCCTACTGTACTTGCTAGTACAGAAAGAAAAACTCCAAAAATACTGGACAGGAAAAGGTATGCGAAGGCCATATGTTAACCAAAGCTTGTGAAACTCTTAAATGACAGCCTATGAAAAATCCAGTATTATGTGCAAAATGAAACAGTAAGCAACGTCAGTTGGTTACCTAATGGCACGTGTTATTTTTCCCCCTAAGTCTCAGAATTCTTGGCTCTAGAGCTTTTTAAAAGCTCTTAAAAATACTTAGTTTGAACTTGTCTTAAGAGAACCATGGTACCCACAGTTCAGATTTCTAGCTTTCTAAAGGAGTCTCTCTGAATTGTTAAAACGGTTATTTTTAGGAGACTAGCTCTACTTTCAAATCTAAAATAATGGCTAAATAAACCACTGGCCATGGACTCTTAATTTTACGTGTGTATATGAGCTCACCCAATATGCTAGAAGGGGAACTCAACAATTCTCATCCACAAGCTTTGAACCATTTATTCCCCGATAGGTTACTCTGCTGGGCCTAACTAAGACGCCGTGGTTTGGCTTACAGGTGAAATAGCGCGTGTCACCCACAGCTCCGTCGTTTCTCCCCTTGGCACTTCGCAGCTCGAGTCCAAGCCAGATCCCAGAAGCAAAGTCAGTGGGGCCCACGTACCTAACGGTCCCCATCTCATTCGAGCTGGTGAGGAGGACCTGGGACCCCTCATGCAGCTTCACGCCCCCTTCCAGGCTCCCGGCGCTGGTGGCGCTGCTCCAGCTGCGGCGCAGGGCGGGTTTTGATCTGGCGGAGGGAACAGCAAGGAGCCTTGTCAGCAGGCGAGCAACACGGGCCACGCGTCCCATTCCTGCCCACCGCCTGGCTCGCAACTCACTCGTAAAACAAAGCGCTCTGTGTTCACACCCACACTGTTTCTATTCCAAACAGCGATGTTAGGATATACTTTTGTTCAACATTTGAAACGTTTTTTCTCTCTTGGTTATTTTAATAGTACCCTAATCTGGATTGAAGACTTCACTAGCAATTTCTAAACACACACACACACACACACACACACACATATTTTTACTTTATGTTTTACTTTGTAAAACAGCCACTAGAAAAAATACACTTATAACCTGTTTAAATGCACTCAATTATCAAAGCAAAAAAATAAATAAATAAAAAAGAATGCAGTGTTAGGGCTGAGGTAAATTAAAACGAACTTCCCTTCACTTTTTAAATATCATTTACCTGAAAAACAATGTTTAGAAACTGCTCATTGCTAACTTAAAAAAATAAGTATATATATGTCATCTCTGAATGAACTCCAGCCACACCTCAGGCTTTAGCCCCCTCCCAGCCACTAACAGGGAGGAGAAGCTCAGTTCCCAGGAGCAGGACTCTTCCTCTTTTCTCTACAAAACGTTAGTTAGAATGTACTGCCTCCTGGCACCCGCCACCAACCTGACCTGAGGACAAAACCACTGAGTTCCCACAAGGGAACTGATCCAGGGCCTCAGCCGATACTGCCCCAGCGCTTCTCACGGTCACTGCCAAGTCGCTGGGCCTGAAACGTCACCAGTTCCGGCTGCCCTCTGTGACCCGAGACTTCCCCAGACCACCACCACTGCAGCCTTGCACACTCCATCCACGTGGCACCTCTCCTCCAAAATGAACCTGTTCCTCGTCCCCACTGCAGAGACAAGGCAGAACCTGCTACCGAAACCGCACGGTGCTGGGAAGAAACGGGGTCCTACTGATCCTCTAGTGCATCCTACCGTCTGTTTCCTAACACACTATCACACACAACGTCTCATTTCCTTCCATTAACGACCCTGTAAGAAAGGAAGACCTAATTTCATGGGTAAGAAAACTGAGGTCCAAAGATTTGTCCCAAGCCACATTTGCCAACACATGACAGAATTCTAGTTAGAAAATATAATGGAAAAAAAGTATTATTTGTCACAAATGTACACATATGATGATAAGGTTAACAAAGAATACGTAATACCTGCTGGGAAAAGCACAAACCTTTACTGAGAAACACAAAAGAAAAATATCCAAGCTTTGCTCCTGGATAGAAACATATTTGTGTCAATTCTCCCTGAATTCACCCCCCAGAGGGATAGTTTGCAACCTCACAAATCACTCTAAGTTTCTCATAAAAATGATGCTGTGTATCATTTCCTGAGCACCTACTATGTGCCAGGAACTGTCCATCCATTATCTTCTCCAACCTTACCCAAGCCACTGCCATGATATTATCTCCTTTCAAATGGAAGATGAATTTGAGAATCAAAAAAATGAAGCTATTTGCCTCCAACCAGAGAGATGGTGAAGAGGACAGATGGGGCTCCCATACAAAGCAGTTACAAGCACAAAGGCCAGGCGCTTACAACAGCAGATGGGTGTTAGTAATTAAGACAAAACTAAAAACTAACACAGCAAAGATTTACATTGCCAGCATGTTAAATTCTAAAGTTACTGAGACTAAAACAATGTGGCTCTGGCACAAGAATGTACTTCTGTGTGACACAGAAAAGATACCTTAGAGAAATACACATAATTTTTTTTCTCATGTGATTGAAAAGGGAAACTTCTAATCAGTAGGGACAGGAGTGAACATTCAACTAGGAGTGCTGTAAAAATCATCTGGGGGAAAAGAATATGATTCTTACCACTCACTGTATGTTAAAATAATTTCTAAGTAAATTAAACAGCTAAATATATACATTAGAAAACAGGAAAGAACCAGAAGGAAATAGAGCTGGATATCTACCTGAACACACATGCACACACACAGGTGGGAAGGGAGGGAAACACATACATGTATGAAAAGTCTGGCATCTACTATTATTTAAATTATGATTTTTTTTTCACTAATTATTATGCCATAAAAATGTTTCCATATCACAGGACAGTCTTTTAAAATACTGCAAAAGCCACACCGAGGAAAATTGTTAAAGATTACAGGATTTAATAAGGGAAAAAGCTTTCAGAGGGTATGGAGAGTATGATTTGTCCAATTTGGTTTAAAATTCAGATACATGCTTTAGGGAAAAAAATGGGAGAGTATATACCAAAATGGAAGTGATAATTTCATCTAGGTGATAAAAATTACAGATGATCTTTATCTGCACTTAGTTTTTTTTAATAATTTTTCAGTTTTGTACAATCAGCTTTCATAATCAAAAAAAGGTTTAAGAGAAATAAACAAGTAATAAATGAATTCAAGGTCTAAACCAAAAATTTATGGTTTGGGTGAAGAGTTAACATTAAATAAGAATGATCTGATTCCAGTTACATCTAATAGCTCTAAAAGCTCAGGGAAGTGAGAAACTTGGAATTACAGTACATTTAGGTACTGTAATGTTTTATTCAAAAACATTGACCACGCATGAAATGGCCGGGGCGAGGTTCTAGATTTGTGCGTAATACTCAGTAAACCATCGTCAGTGCCGCGGTACAGACAGAGCGTGGTGCGGGAGCACAGAGACAGGAGGCCCTCCAGCCTCCCCTAAGGGCCAGGGAAGAGCTTTCCTTGAGGAAGTGACACATTAGCCTCGCTGGTAAGAGCGAAGCCAGGGGACACAGACAGGAGCGTGCATGCAGACGCAGCACATTCACGTGCTGCGCCAATGAATGTGGATTTCGTCATGGTTTGAGAATCGAGAAATTTCAAGGCACAATGAATGCAAATGCATGGTGTGACCTCACGGAACACGCAGCGAACCGGATTGGGAGTTCTGCCTCAAGACATTCGAATTTGAGCTGACCACGTGAACCATGTCAACAGGCTGGACTCCACAGCTGGGACGCGCGGTGACGGCATGGGCAGGAGTGGAGAGAAGCTGGTGAGGACCGGGCTGCGTGTGGCAACGGGACCCAGATGCAGGCTGGATGCCAGGTGGGAGAGGACGGACTGCTCAGGACAACCAGGGCGCTATGGTGTCCGGTTCAGATTCCAAGCCCCCTCTCTCTCTACCCCTACTCTTGGCATTAGATACACATAGAATTCTGAAGACAGGAGACCTGCTTCAAGCCACTTGCCATCATGTTGTCCTCTGAATGAAATGGGTTCATCACAGTCATCTCGACGAATGACGCGGAAAACAAGATCCTGTCCCCCTTTCCTCACGTCCTCTCTCATGTGGGGCAGGCAGGTCCTTTGCACAAACCTTTCCAGTTTCCTCCCCAAGAATTTTCATACTGCTACGTTTTCCATGTTTCTTCTGGAAGTATCACTTATTTCCATAAGAACAAACAAGAAAATGGTAGTTTGTGGGGAATCTCAATGTACTTATTTTTCAACTTAGTCTTCATAATGCATCAGGTTTCCAGCCTAGTCACAGTACAGTACCCAATCCTCTCTGTGCCCCTGGCAGATGGCCAGCTGTCACTCTCACGTCTGCGCTAGCCCAAGGTCACAGACAGCTCTCCTGATACCTGCCAACGCCCTCTTGATCCTTAGAACAGCAGCCACCAAACATTTCAGTCTCATACTCTATAAACAAAAATCAATTATTTTTAAAATTGATTTTATACACTCAATAAAGAGTATTTCTTTTTAAAAAAAAAACAGGTACTAGTCTCAATCTATACAAGTATTGGTAAAGCTACATTTCTTTGATTTTTGTAGAAAATAAAGAGAAGGTCCTCACATTCTCCTCAGGTCAGCAGATGATCCTGCGTCTACCCAGACCTGCTGCATAATCCCCGTGGTTCAGATTTCTCGTCCTTCCCTTGGTTCCCTGGACCTCGTGCTCTCCCACCCCCAGCATCACTCACGGCCACTGACACTGGCCCCCACCCCGGGTCCCTCATATGCCCATGGTCTCTTCCTGGTATTTCTTCCATTTTGCCTAAGAAGTCTTGGATATCTTCAAGAAACTGGAACAGAGAGTCACTGCCCTTAACATGCTCAGCTACTCAAGCGAGGAGACCAATTTTAACACTCTCGAAACTGGTGAAGGTTTGGAGGAAAGAAAAAAACGAAAACAATACCCCTAGCCAATGCAGCTAAACAGTACCTAGCAGCGTCTTAGGACGAACAGGGTTGGCAAGTGAAATTTCAGATCCTTGTGACACCTCGAGTAACTTCTTACCAGATGATAAAAACTGCCTTCCTGCTGCTCAGCTGACAACCCGGTTCCTGCGCCTGGGCTTCCAGAGCGCCACACTAAGCAAGGATGTGGCCTTCCTACTCAGCTAGTCCTGTTTTCCTTTCCCACCCACCCCTCCACAGCCCCAGGCATCAGCCCTTAGATTAACTAGAAAAAATTTAAATTAAAAAAATAAAAATACACTAAAAAAAAAAAAAAAAGAACTCCTTCATCCAATCAATCTAGAAGAGCCTCGTATTTCTCTAAAAATAAGTTTTCAAAATTGTCAGAAAAATATCAGGGGGAGTAAAGTGGGTCTGAGGGAAATATATAAAAGAAAAAGAAAAGAAAAGATTCTATAAAGAAACAACAACCAAAAAGGCATTTTGAGCAGTATATTCTACAAAAGGAAGTGGGAATATTTTTTAAAATAATATTAAGATCACTTTATGCAAACAGACCTGACATTTCTTCCATGTGTTGCTGAAAATATTAAATCAAATCTCTCACTAACGAAGTAAACAGTTTAAAATCAATCCACCCTATTCAATAATAACACAAAAGGTAAATCCCTCCAACTCTTATTAATGGTACTAAATCTCTCTGAAAATATATGCAGCATACTACTGTTAGTCACCGGTGACATTTTTAATTGAGTTTTCGCGGGGGAAGGAGGGAGGACTCATCTCAAAGCACTCATCACACCTTTTCTCCTAAGCGCTAAAATTCTACTGAGCAGTGCAAAAGGTACAAAATCTACTTTCTTCCTTCACAGAATCCTGTCATATTCATCTTGAAAAGTGTTTTTCTAAATCTTATTAATACTCACTTGGCAAAGGCATTTCTTCTATTAATCTCTTTTTGGGAAGAAGCAGAAGTCGTACTGAAACTTCTCCTAAAACCTAAATGCCAAAGTTAAGGTCAAAAGAGGAAAAATAAATCATAAATTTGCAGTCCTCATTAAAAGTTATCGTCTATCATTTCTCTATAGGTATTCTATTTTATCAAGTGCTTCTCTGGAAAAAGAAAGCAAATAAAGTAAGAACATACAAAATATAACAGTAGTTTAGATTTTTTGACAAATTTTTATCTTTTTCTTCAAACAATGTATATGTATAAATAAGTTAAGATCATGACATTCCATTTGGAGGTTATTATAAAATTTCTTGAAAACTAAATTAGACACTGATAAAGATGAATCTTTTTATTCTCAAATATTATAATCTTGATAAATCCTATGAAAGAAAGAATAAAAATGGCTTAAAAACGCTATTACTAAATATGCCATTTATAAAATATTGAACATTAATTTCAGAGTTTATGATTCTTGGCATCTGCAAATGACAGAATCATTTAAAAGAAATAAAAAGATTTCATGAAAGGTACATTTTTAAAAAGATGTTTCTAAAAAAGAGTAAGATTTCCAGTTCTGGAAAGTTATGGCAGAGCAGATGTGCTGAATCAATCTCTTGACTGAAGTGAATATAATTTTAAACAACTATAATTTAAAATATATATATATATATATATATATATATATTTTGTTGAGTACAAGGTACAATTTCACAAGGCACAATTTCAAAGACACCAACAACCAAAAAGAGAACCCATGAGAAGTATCCAAACACCAAAGCAATCTATCAACTTGTACCACAGGATTGCCATTAAATTCTAGAGAACTCTGACTGGCTGCACAGGAGGCGGAAAAGGAATAAAATCTAGGGCCTAACAAAAGGGGGACTCTAGCACAAGACTCCTGTTTAAAATGAGGATCCCAACCAGCTCACCTCCAATGTAAGTTAAGTGAGAAACAGAATGAAACACCATTCCAATGAAACAAAACGAAGTGGCTGTGTCAAACTTAATGCTTAGAAGGTGGCAAGATTTTTCTCCCTTCAAAATTTGTGATCATAAGTCAAATTCATTTTACCTATGAAATTAAAAAAATTGCAGGGAATATAAGTTAAAGTAGTCCCAGGTTGGCAGTACCTCTAGGAGTAACTGGCAGAAGTAAATACAATCTTCTCTGGAGGCATCAACTCAGGCCTCAAAGAATTCCTGTACATTAAATTCTGAGTAGAATAAGCATCTCACAATAATAAATTACAAAATCCACAAGGAAAGAAGGTACCGTGAGTTAGGCTCACAAAAACAGACGGGCAGAATCATAAGTTAGGTTCACAAAGACTTCAGGTATGGAATTATTTAACATAAAAGATAACAATATTTAAGATGTTTAAAAACATAAAAGGAAAACTTAAAAATATGGTGGAAATAACAAGCTATAATAAGTAACTACAAAACAGATTTGTAAAAAGGAAAAAAGAAATGAAAATTTTCTAACTAAAAATTTGGTGGCTGGGTTAAACAGCAGAATAAACATCACTGAAGAAAAAATCAGGAAACATGAAGATAGAGCTGAAGATGTCTAGAATACAATCCAAAAAGACCAAGGTGAAAAATACAAAAGAAGCACGGGAAAGTGAGGAAGTCTAGGACACTAGTCATCAGAGTGTCTGAAAGAGATAATAAAGAGATTGAAGGAGAAATATTTTAAGTATACAGACAAGAGTTTTACAGAATTGATCAAAGATATTAATTCCCAGATCCAGGAAGACCCATGATAAAAACAGGATAAACAAACAACATCTAGACAACATCATAGTGAAACTATACAACACTAAGGAAATAGAAAAAACCTTTAATGGCTGTCAAAAAGAAAGATAAATCACCTACAAAAGTATGGGTTAGGCAGACTCATAGCAGACTTCTCAAAAAAGTGATGGAATACAGAAAATAATAACATTATATTGTTAATGTGCAGGGAGAAAACATCTTTCCAACTCAAATTTTCACCAAATATTAAGAAGCATGTTCATACAGTATAACTTTCATTCAAGTAGAGAATGGAATAAGAACAAGAAAGGGTATGAATATAACTAGAATAAAAGTAAACCACAAGTATAAAAAAATTGTAAAAATAGCAAATAAGTAGCATAAATAAATCCAAAGACATGAGTTCTTATAATAAGTGTAAATAGGTGAAACTCTGGGGTTAAAGGCAAACATTGTCAAACCATATTTTCTTAAAGAAGTGAAATCCAATCATATTCTATTTAGAAAATATTTCAAAAACACAAGGATATAGAAAAGTTATAAGATAACTGATAGAAAAAGATATGTTAAGCAAGTACTTCACCAAAAGAAAGCTGACAGAAGGTAAAAAGAATTATTTAAAAAGCAATACCATTTACATTAGCATCAAAAAATGAAATATATTGGTATAAATCAAATAAGACATGTATAAAATCTATATGAGGAAAACTATAAAACTCTGATGAAAGAAATCAAGTAAGATAAATCAGTATTCCATGTTCATGGACAGGAAGACTCAGAACTGTTAAGACATTAGTTCTTCCCCCCATTTGATCTATACAATCAATGCAATCCCAATCAAAATCCCAACAAATTATTTTGTAGAAACCAACTATTTGGGAAGTTTGTATGGAGAGGAAAAAGCACAGAAAAACCAGCGTAATACTGAGGAAGATTAAGAAGAAATTTGAAGAATCACTAAAAAGCTACAGTAGTTAAGACAATGTGGTATTAGTGAAACATAACAAGAGCAATGGAACAGAACCGAGAGCCCAGAAATAGATCCACACAATGTAGTCAGCTCATCTCTGACAAAAGAGCAGAGGCAATTCAATGGAGAAAGGATAGACTTTTTAACAAATAGCCCTAAAATATGCAAAAAAAAAAAAAAAAAAGAATCCAAACACAAACTTTACACCTTTCACAAAAATTAACTCCTTGAACAAGTGATCTACATGGGAAATACAAAACTGTAAACTACTAAAAAGATAACACAGGAGAAACACAGGATGACCTTGAGTTCAATGATGACATTTCAGATATAACACCAAAAGCACAATTCATGGAAGGAAAAAAAAAAAAAGAGGATACCCTGGACTTCGCTAAAATTAAAGACTTCTGCTCTGCAATAGACTGTTAAGGCAATGAAAAGACAAGCCACAGACTAGAGAAAATATTTCCAAAACACATTCTGATAAAGGTCTAGGATTCAAAATATACAACAACAACAAAACCCTGCTTAAAACTCAATAACAAGAAAAAAATTTTTAAAGAATTAAAACTCGATAATGAGAAAACAATGAACACACAATTTTTTTTTAATTTTTTTTTTTTAAAGATTTTATTTATTTGACAGAGAGAGATCACAAGCAGGCAGAGAGGCAGGTAGAGAGAGAGGAGGAAGCAGGCTCCCTGCTGAGCAGAGAGCCTGATGCGGGGCTCAATCCCAGGACCCTGAGATCATGACCTGAGCCGAAGGCAGCGGCTTAACCCACTGAGCCACCCAGACGCCCCTGAACACACAATTTTTAAAATGAGCAAAAGACCAGGAAGAATAATTCACCAAAGAAAATGGACAGATGGAAAATATGTGCAAAGATCTTCAACTTCTATTATGAGCTGAATTGTGGCCCCATTCGTGTGTTAAAATCCTAATCCCCAGTACCTCAGAATGTGACTATATTTGGAGACAAGGCCTTTAAATGGCAATTATGTTATAATCAGATGAAATAGGTCAGCCCTAATCCAAGATGACTGGTGTCCTTCAACGAAGAGATTAAGACACAGACATGTAGGCAGAAAAAGACTTTGTTAAGACATGGGAGAAAGACCCCCATCTACAAGGCAAAACAAGAGCCTTAGAAGAAACCAACCCTGCCAACACCTTGATCTTGGACTTTTAGCGTCCAGAATTTTGAGAGAGTAATTCCTTTCCTTAAGCCACATGATCTCTGGTACTCTGTTATGCTAGCCCTAGCAAACTAATATGACATCATACATCATCAGGGAATTTCAAATGGAAACAACAGTTAGATACTACCACACACGGTGCATTAGAACGTGTATTAGAATGGTGAAAACCCACAAGCCATAAAATTAACCTCAACAAAGTATTTAAGGGCTAGTTATACAAATCACTCTTACACAGACAGTTATCCTATGGGAAAAAAATGAAATTAGACCCTCACTATACACAAAATCAATTCCAGGTGAACTGATAAATATGAAAAGCAAAAATACAAGACAAAACTTTTAGAAAGCAATATAGGAAAATATCTATGTGAGGTCTGTTTTAGGAAAAGATTTCCTAAGATAAAACATGAAGAACATAATGGTTTGCTATTTTTTTTTTTAAGATTTTATTTATCTGTCAGAGAGAGAAAGAGAGGCAGGCAGAGGGAGAGGCAGGCTCCCCACTGAGCAAGGAACCTGATGCAAGACTCAATCCCAGGACCCTGGGATCATGACCTGAGCTGAAGGCAGATGCTTAACCCACTGAGCCACCCAAGCCTCCCAATGGTTGGCTATTTTGACTACTTAAAACTTTTAAATATCTGCTTATCAAAAGACACCAAACAGGTGGTGGGGGCGGGAGAACGCAAAAGACAAGTCACAAACCAGGTAGGCAAGATATTCACAACACACAAGACTGGCAAAGTATTAGTGTCCAAAATGTATATAGAAACCTACACATTAACAAGACAAGCCAACCAAAAGAAAAATGGGCAAGAGACTTGAACAGGTATGTCATAAAAGAGAAAATGCATACGGCCCATCAACATGAAAAAAATGAGGCTCCACCTCGTTTATAATCTGAAAAATGCAAATTAAAACCAAAAGGTACAATTTAAATCCATCAGATGAGCAAAGACTTCTAAACAGGACTAAGGTTGGTAAGATAAGGAGCTGCAGAGGCTCTCATTCACTGCTCATGGGCATGTACCCTGTGAAGAGTCTGCCATTACGCAGGGAGGCTGAAGATCTGGATGGCCCCTGCCTCGTGCAATCCTAGAGAAACCTTGGCAAATGTGTGCAATAGTCTAGTTCTTAACAGTAAAAAAACAAATGTATCACAAAGATCCATCAAGTAGAGAATGAACAGTATCTTTTAATGGAACACTAACAAAATAACCAACAATTAAATTTATATACATTTTATAACATATATTATTTATTAATATATCTATATAAGCATGATAAAGATATTTTTAAAAATCAAGGGAATAATTAACACAAAATTCAAGACTCATAATCTGAGGACAAGGTATATGAGAAGGGAAGCAGATGAGACTAGGGGATACTCCTGGCTTCTACTGTTCAGGTCACCTTCAGGAACAGGGCAGGTAACAGATGTCTGCTTTATCATTATATAAACTATATAAAGGCATTTACTCTTTTGTATACAAATGTATTTCACAATAAAAAATTTTTTGATAAATAAAAGCAAACAAATAATTATTAGGAACATAAAACTGTATAAACCTACCAGGATAAGAATGATTCTGTTTATTCGAAGAAATTTCTGAAAGAGTATCCAGGGAATCCGTTACCCTGTGAATAAAGCAAACCTAGTTAGCAAACCTCACTAGAAGAAGTAGCAAGTGTTCAGTTTTAAGACTGGCTCTTAACTGAGGCTTTCACACCAATGTTATTTCTTATTTCACCTATTCAACAAACATTGATCGAGCATCTATAAGGAGCCAGGAACGAACATGAAGCTAGCAGAGAAGACAGGCAATAACAAAACAGAAGAGAGCCTTGTATCGAACAACTAGTAATGCAGAAAAAGTCAACTTAAAGTAAATTCATTTAAAACGGGGACCTGAGGGGCGCCTGGGTGGCTCAGTGGGTTAAGCCGCTGCCTTCAGCTCAGGTCATGATCTCGGGGTCCTGGGATCGAGCCCCACATCGGGCTCTCTGCTTGGCAGGGAGCCTGCTTCCCTCTCTCTCTCTGTCTCTGCCTGCCTCTCTGTCTACTTATGATCTCTCTCTGTCAAATAAATAAATAAAATCATAAAATGGGGACCTGACATGATTTCTTTGGAACTTTATCTTCACAGATAAAACTAAAAAACCTGAAAATAAATTTGTCTTATGTTGACTTTAACAAATGTTTGATCCGAATTATAAAAACATCAGTCTTAAATTGGAAAAAAAAAAAAAAAAAAAGATACTGACTCGGGCCGTCTATGCATGTAATTTTCTGATAAAACTGCATGGGTAAGTACAATCCAACATCCTTTACTTTATATCTGACTCTTGGCACAACCATAAAGGTAACTTTGCTGACAGGTCTATCTGTATTTTTTAATATTCAAATCATTCTTCATTGTTGAAAAGCCAATCCTCCCAGTCTCATTCTCTTTCGGTTGTTTACTGACCTGACCCACAAGGCCTTTATGCTGTCAACTGCTTCCTGCAGGAGACTTGGTCACGAGCCAGAAATCCTGCAACCCTCGCGCTATCTGCAAGGCCACCTTGCACTTAGTGTGCGCTGTTCTCACATGATTTACGCCCACGGCAATCAGCAAGAGACTGATGAATGCAGAGAATAGGACTGGATGAAGAGGACAGATAATTAGGTGGTGATGGGTAGTTGAGAAGAACTTAATTCTAAAAGTGATCATTAATAATAAGTACCTAATCGAGAGAACTAAGAAAATTAATACCGTGCTGATGAAGACCACCTAGGCAAAAAATAGGTAAGTAGGTAAAGAGATAAGATCAGATCTAGTCAAGCAAGTTTTCTTGGAATTTCTGCAAAGAAATAGTGGATGATTTACATATTATTAGAAAAAAAAAAAGCTATGAATTCAGTGAAAGCTGGGTGATAGTAGAAAGCTATCCAAGCGGAGGAAATAACATGTGCACAGATTCTCAGAGGCACATTTTTTTTCTTAATGGAAAGGAGGGGAAAAAAAAGACAACTACAATCTGGGAGGAGTGGGACTGGGATTGGTCACTACTTTATTAAGACTGTCCTCAAGCAGTCCCCAGTTTAAAATTCTTTCTTCTTGAAGATCAGTGGTGTCTTTGAAGAGCTCTAAAGCTGGTTTTAAATTAGAAATTCCTCAAAATCAGGGACCATGTCTGTTTTATTTGCTTATAGAATGCCTAGCACAGCACAAAGTGCTAAAAGACACTTAATAGTATTTGATGATGATGAATGAGACAATCAGAAGATGACAGGAAGACAGCTGGATCGAGACAGCGGTTCATTTAGAGAGAGAGCCCTGTATCTTCTAAGAAGAGGGGGATGCTTTTAAATGAATCACCTTAAAGAAGACCAAATAGAAGGCGAGGAAAAAAGAAAAAAAGTAAAACCATGTGTTCCTTAAACAAAGCAAGAAAAAGAACGTGAAACCATGAGAAAGAAAGTGGCTTCCTAATATTAGAGGGCGGAAAGCTGTTACAGCATAAAGCAACACTGCACTAGATTTAGTCAGTATTTACTGTGTTTAAAATATGCACACTATGTCCTCTGGGTGATCAAACATAAAATGAAGAACCCCAGTTCTCACAACTAAGAGACGAATGAAACTTGTAAGAGACTGTAGCAATGTGTTAATGAAGATTTGTCCAAAGCAATAAGAGAACCCAGAAGACGGGGGACTCAGCATAGATTTTACCGTAAATCAATCACTGAGAAGACATCAGTCCTAAAGAAAGTCAGCAATCCTCTTTTAATCATGACAGGGTACTGGTTAAGAACATACACTCAACTACCTGGGTTCAAATCCCCACTTGGGAGCTGTGCACCCCTGCACAACTCACTTAACTTCCCTCTGCCTTACTTTCCCCACCTGTGAAACAGGACCTGACCCAGAGGGAGCTTCCAAGGGAACAGTACTGCGGCGCTCGTAGCTGTGGGTCCACACGCAAGTGCGATGCGTTGGCTACTACCTTTATCCTTATTTATTAAATGCCTACCACAAAATAGCAAACTGTCTAAAAGCAAGGGCTTGGGAAACACAACAAAATAACAAACCTGGGCTGAGTCCAGGACCATCGTTAAGTAGTGTAAGACAGACCAAAATATGTCACTCCAGAACATGCCACCCATGGCATAAGGATTAGTTTGAGCTAAAGACACTTGAGAACCAACAAATGCAGGGAGAGGCTTTCTCTGAACTCTCCTTATCTGCCTAAAACAGGTGCTCGCCAAAAAGAGCTCTTTTGTCCTATATCCCCTCCCCAGCAGTTGCATCAGGCAGGGAAGACGGACTCTTGTCATAGACCCAGACAGACACTGTCACAGACGATCTTACCTCCCATCCAGTTATCTTTCCTAAAAACCACAGGCCCTCCCACAAGTGGCCTTTTTCTCTCTTCCCTTCTCCTAGTAAGACGGTCTATAAAAACTCCAATCTCACCACCTATATGGGTATTGACGTCATTCTGTGACACCCAGGTGCATGCGAATTCAAATGTAATAAATTTGTATGCCTTTCCTCCTGCTCATCTATCTGTTGTCAATTTAGTTCACAGACAGCACTCCCAAACCCCCTCAGCAACTACTGATCCTAAGAGGATAGAGGAAAATTTTTGGCTCCCCTACGCTAACTATATGGCTTCAGCTAAGTCACTCTATCTCTTGAAATTTTTCTTCACTGGTGAAATGGAACTATCAGAACACTTTACAACTCACTGGGTTTGAGGAGGATTAACGAAATATGCATCTAAAGTAGACTGTACAGAGCCGACCCTTTACTAAATGCTCAATAAATGTTTGTCATCATTATTGTTCTTTTCTTCTTTAAAGATTTATTTTATTTTATTTATTTGAGAGTGAGAGAGAACATGAGAGGGGAGAAGTCAAAGGGAGAAGCAGACTCCCTGCCGAGCTGGGAGCCCATTGAGGGACTCAATCCTGGGACTCCAGGATCATGACCTGAGCCAAAGGCACTTGCTCAACCAACTGAGTCACCCAGGCACCCCTCGTTATTGTTCTTTTCCAGCTTACCTGACCCAATATTTATGAGGATCAAATGAAACAACACTGAACTGAAGATACTTCATACACTGCAAAGCATTACCTATGTTCAATACTATACTGTCATAAATAATGAGGGTTTGAAAAAGTACATCAAAGGAGGAGAAAATTAATATAATAAAAATCACATGAAATTATAAGAAAAACAAAGTGAGGTGGAAGATAGGTCTAAAAACTCTAAAATCTGCCCGGAGGCAGTCCCATAGCCCAGCTAGAAGGGAACTAGACGGGGCTCCGGGATGTGACGGCAGATCCGTTCTCATGAATGTGATCCCACCGTGTACGTTCTTTCCCATGGAAAGATTAGCGTCCCGTTTCCCCTCCGCCGAAGAGCACACCAAGCCAACTTCTCCAACACATAAGTCATTTCATGAAATGGTACCTGGAATTTCACAGGGACTTGTTTCTGCTCAACTTGTTTTTTAAAGCCGGGGCAAGCTGGTACCGAAGTGTAGCATCTTAAAGAGCAACACCGAGGAGGTACATTATATATAAACCCTTAAAGCTTCGCTTCCCCCAAAGATCTACTGCCTATTCTATTTTTGAAAACTAAAGGAATGAGAGGAAAAAGCCATTTTGGTTCCATTAGGGTTGGAGGAGAATGAATGGGGTGCCTGCTGGCAGGAAATTTAACGTAGTTAGGATGTGTCTGTAGCAATCAGAGAGCATTTTTACTTTTGTTTGCATGACAGATTAAGCTCGCTGCTCTCACTGTTCTTAGCAGCAATGCCGCTTCTAATAGCCTACACATACTCATAGGGTTTGCAAATGAGGAATAAAGGAGGGTTTTAAAATTGCAAATCCTCAGCAAAGCGAATTTAGCTTTCCATGAGCCTTCTCTCTGAAGAAGGTGGTTGGTTAACCCCTTGAACGAAGACGCGAGCTGTAGTCAGTGCATGTCTTTAATGTAAAATGAGGAAGTCTTAACTATAAACCATTGCAAATTACAAAAAGGCCTTGTGGAAAAACATAAATTTCATTTTTCTCACCTTTGTACCCTGGATGGGGGAGCAAATATTCCGTATCGTGGAGAACAACTAAAGTACTGCACACCTCCAACTGAACCATCATTCTTGCCATGGGGTTTCTCAAGCTCTATACCGTACCAATATCCTAGAACAAGAATATTGGATTTTAAAAGCTTCTGCATTTTACCCAAAATGGTTATGCTATTATACAAACCCAACGCCCGAATGGCTTAACATTTTCACAAAATGACCAAAATGATGGAAGAGCATCATGATCATTGAGCTTTCAAATGATAAAATTTGAAAATTGGAAAAAATGAACAGGAAAAATATTTTACAAGCACAATTACAGAGTTGTACATTAAAGGAGAGAGATAAAATACATAAATTTGGCATAGATTAGCTATTATGCAAGTAGTGTTATGACCACAGTATATCTACAAGTCATAATGAACAACAACAAAAAAAACCTGCCCTTGACTCAGTGATACGGCTTGTTTCAGTTAGAGCCGTACAACACACTGCTGAGCTGTATGAATCATAACGTTCATGTGCAATCTCTTCCTTTCATTCTCCCAACACTCCAACATCACAAACAGTTCTTGGATAATTGAGGAAGGACAAAAATAATTTGGAAAATATGATTAGACTTCATGGTGACTCTTCTTTTTCTCTTTTTGTTTCCCCACCCAGGATGAAGAGAAAAATCATAATACTTAACCTTAGAGAAAAGATTTAGATTAGCTAGTAGGAAGAATTTTCTAAAAGGCTTATTTTAAGTATGTAAAAGGGCCCACTCTGAGGAAACTTTGGCCCCTTTTCTAGAGGGCCAAAACTATAGCAGTGAGGCTGCTTTTAGTGTGGTGAGAATTAGGTAAAAGGACACATACTCCTAGTCTGAATATATACATAGTAACTTCTGGAAGAAGGATCCTCAAATGGAGGGGACCTCAAGACCAGTTAAAAGTCTCTACTGATCTGTTCATTTTTATTTAAAAGTAGAATACAGTAGTAATTGGATCTGGTCTCTTATAATCAGTATCAAATAAAAACTAAGAATATAGATATTGAGAAACTTACTGTAAATCCTAAATTCCAAAATACAAAAATATTGTTCCTTTCATATTGCTAATTCAAAGAGTCTGTACAGCCTCAAAAATGGCAACCTCGAAGTTCTTCGGTCTATTCCTTGTATGTTCAAAAAAGATGACACTTGAGCCCATTTTTCGATACTTTTGTACTGAAAAGACTAATGCATGACCACAGTCTCCTATACTTAAGCAGTGTACAAGTACAGAGTCAACAAATTTACTTCTTAGCCATACAAATGCTCTGGAAATAGGTCATCACATTTCTGAATGTCACTAATCAAGGTTGTCTGGTTGTCATTTTTATTTCGGAGTGACACAGTTCCAACCCTCAATGTTACAGCATACCATACAATAGCAACATGTTTACCATATGACTCTTGAAAAAGTGTAACATGCCACAGAAAGACAGTATGACAAGTGTTAACAATTGTGACTATACCTTGTCTGGTAGTGGTATATATTGTTTCCCATTTAAATGGTAATTTTTTTTCAATAAAAAGGCTAAAGATGCTAAAGATGACCTCTTTTAGGTCTAGATCTTATAATCCAAAGAGCTTCCATTAATTAGGACTGTTCTCTAGAACTGACTGATCTAAATTTTGGTGCCATAAGACATAGATGCTACTACTTTCTAAAGGAACTGAATGACTTTAACAGAAAAGTTTCCAACTTTACATTTGCTTATGACTGACTACCCAAATTTCTAAATGCTTAACCAAAGGAATTTAAAAATTAAAAGTCAACCTAAAATAAAGAACTGTATCCAGTGAACCAAACCATTCTAACCTTGTTTAATATAGAGAAAAGGAACTCAAAAGACATGGACATTGTGAAAAATACCCTACCTTGGGGATTCTTGAGTTTTTATTTGAGAACTATATTAAGACCATCCTAACTCACCTCAATTATTACCTGGAGACCTGTGAGAGACATGAATTATACAACACACAGCCCATCTCAAATCAATTAGGTGGACTGCAATTATAAGTGGGATAATGAAACAAGACTCTGCTGGGAGACAATCCTCCACCACTCGCTCATGTTTCTGCATGCTTTACGAACAGAGGCGTTGTCTTTTCATGGATGTCTGCACAGAGGACAGCCTTGGAGGACAGAGATAGAGTGCGGACAGCAGGCCCCACACAAATACAGGCATGCGTGTTGTCTAGTATAAAGGTTCAGATTGCTGAAACTCAGGGCTCTTCTCCTGTAGCATAAAACACAGGGTGTGCCCGTGTCACCCCCCGCCACCCCGGGAACTGGGGCTCAGGGAGCGAGTGCAAGAAAATGCTGACCCTCTGCTTCTGCCACTGCTGGGACCGTGGAAGTCCTGTCTCTGAATCGGGAGCCTAACATCTTCCATCAGCATCTATGAAACGGTGGCAATCTAACTTGTCAGCTTACACACGTAGGGTAAAATCTCAGATCCTTCACAGTTCTTGACAGAATGCTACAAATTTAAAATCAATGTTCTGGGTAACCTTTTCCTAAAATCCTGCAATGCCACCATGTGTCAAAATAGCATATTGCCATTCAAAATACACAAACATGGTTTCATTCAACGGGGTTCTATATTTAAAATTAAAATCACTGAAAATGCAAAGAAAGCTGATCTTTACTTTTGGAAACACAATATTAAGTCTAGATTGGAATGAATATGTAAATACACAAACATGTATTTTTAAGGTCCCAGGGTGCACAGAAGCTTTTTCTTTTTCCCTTGAACTGGTTTGTTAACTTCTTCTCTCTCTCTAAGCCACTCAGATAAAGGCTATATCCTGTGAACTCATTTTTTTTTCTTTTTTTTTTGTAAAGATTTTATTTATTTATTTGACAGAGATCACAAGCAGGCAGAGAGGCAGGCAGAGAGAGAGAGAGAAAGGAGGAAGCAGGCTCCCCGCCGAGCAGAGAGCCGGATGCGGGGCTCGATCCCAGGACCCTGAGATCATGACCTGAGCTGAAGGCAGAGGCTTTAACCCACTGAGCCACCTGGCGCCCCCTGTGAACTCATTTTAAGAATATCTACTTACCCAAAGGATACAAAAATACTGATTCCAAGGGGCACATGCACCCCAATGCTTATAGCAGCATTATCAATAATAGTCAAATTATGGAAAGAGTCCAAGTGCCTATCAGCTGATGAATGGTTAAAGAAGGTGTTATAAACCCCCTGGAATATTACTCAGCCATCAAAAAGAATGAAATCTTGCCATGTGCCACAACGTGATGGAACAAGAGTGTATTACACTACGTGAAATAAGTCCGGCAGGGAAAGACAAATATCATATGATTTCACTCACGTGTGGAATTTAAGAAACAAAACAGATGAATATAGGGGAAGGGAAGGAAAAAAAAAAAAGGGAGGGGGGAAGCAAACCATAAGAGACTCCTAACTATCGAGAACAAACTGGAGGATGCTGGAGGACGGGCTAGACAGATGAGGGGACTAAAGGAGGGCACTTGTGATGAGTACTGGGTGTCACATGTAAGGGAGGAATCACTGAATTCTACATCCGAAACCAATTTTACTGCGTATGTCAACCAGAATTTAAATAAAAACTTGGAATAAAAAAAAAAAGGAATATCCTTAGCAAAAATCTAATCCTGATGTTTTCTCTGTTACTGAGCACTCTTGGCAATCGGTGCAAGTGAAGCTGGAGAACAACAATGAACTTTAACATGAGACAACTTAGAAGACAGCTGACAAGGAGACGTCGCGGGTGACAGGTAGCCCAAGTCCGGTCAGAGCTTCCGCCGCTGTAGGGCTTCGCCGGCACCGCAGCTAACCAACGTCCCGAGACCTGGTCATCAGGAACTACCCACATTTACAATTTTAAGCCTTTTGTATTCTGAAGGGCTCAAACTGAGCCGAGCGCACAGAGACGGGTTACCTGGAGCGAAGTTCGTTGTCCCGAAGAACTTGACGGTGCCGACTCTCTGGCCCACCACCAGCACTCGGTCTCCCAGGTGGGGCTCTCCTGCACAGCGGTTGTTATTTGCGACACAGGCTCCTGAGGAACTCAACCCTGTTTAGTGGGTGGGTGGGGGAAGGAGTGGGGCACAGGAAAAGAGAAGGGAAAAAAGCGAAGGGGAAGGAAAAAAAAAAAAACCAACCTCAAAAAGCATATTAGCCGAAGTCACCATGTGCTCTCACTAGTCTAGCTATCGAGAGATTTCAGTGTGTGACCCTTCCCTGATGTACGCCCCCCACGGCTGCGGTTCTCACGTGGGGGATCAAGACATTTAAAGAACTTGGGAGGGGTTTCCTGAAAAAATTACCGCCACGAGCACCTGACACACACGGTTGCTGGTAAAGCATCAATTTTACCCAGATTTCCCGGGGCGCGCTGCTAGAACAGAGGCCAATGCTCCTTTTCTGTAAAGGGCCAGGGAGCAAGGATGTGAGGCAGTGCGGGCCGTGCCGTGTCTATCGGAAGTATTCGGCTCTGCTACCCCAGCAGGAAAGCGCGCCTAGACAAGGCAGGCATGGTATGTTCCAGTAAAACTTTATAGAAATATGTGGCAGGTTGGATTCGGCCCGTGGGCTGTATTGTATCCCTGTTCTGCTAAAATGCTAGAATCAGAGTCATTCACTGGGACTCGGTGTGAATTACACATACAAGAATGTGATCTGAACCTGAAAAGTGTCGTAAGTCTCCACTTAGCTCAAACTGATTTCCCTATTAGGAATCAAACCACTCCCCCTCACCTTGATTGAAACCTAATCCCTGAAATGCCCACTATTAAACGTCAGAGGTCCTAGAGAATTACTGTCTGCAAAGCTGTTCAATTATAACAGAGAAAAAGTGGGCCCTTGAGGCTTCTCCCATCAGTCCATAAACTGACTTGAGCTGTAGGCCCCGGGGAGGGCCTACAGGAACCTCTGTGAAGGCAGGGGACAGAGGGTAAGTCATATCGCCAACGGGAGAGAGACTAACGCCATGGCAACAAATGAGGAACACAAACCCAGAGAGAGGGCAGGTGTGGATAAAGTGCTATACTAAAAAGTCCTAGGTCCTCATAATAACTAATATTTCCAACGCATTTCACAAAGTGCCTTCCATAGAATTATTACAGGTAAGACACAAATTCAGGAATTAACTAAGACACGGTGTTCACAGGCAGTCGATGGCACAGCCCGATTAGAGCCCAGGCCCTATGAGCACAAGTCCTCAGGCAGGTCCCCAGGCTAAGACAGCACCTTCGACCACAGGGTACAACGATGCTGAGAACACAGACACTCTCCCTCACCTCCGCCACTCCCCGAATCTCATCTTTCTGCCCCTCCTTAGCCTCACTTCCCAGTACATCTGCATCCCTCAGATGCAAATGTATGGAGAAAGTGGAGTATCTACTCACTCTAGAAAAGTGTGCTAGGGAAACGTCTCTGAGGTCCTGAACATGGGACTTCCTCTCACGGATCTCCTGTTCTTGCTCCCTCCCCTTTTAAAAGGTCTTCTTGATCATTTTAACTGACAAGTCTATTCATCCACTACTATCTAAGCCTACATCATGCTTAAATTTATAAAAAGAGAAAAAAATATGTAGGTACACTAGACTTACTTCTTATAAAAAGTAAAACAGGTACTTCCATAGCCACATGTACATTTTAAAAATCAAGTAAACGTCAAAAGCCCAAATTCCAGGTGAAGGAGGGCCTTGCAGTGTGACTACAGTGAGGACAAGTGGGATTGCTACATCCCTATCTCGGGGTCTCTGTTCCTCGGGAGGCTAGACAGAAACTGCTCGCAGGGGAAGGAGGCCTACTCTGAAATTACAGGTTCCAAATAAACAATTTCAGGTAAAACTTCTGGGTTCTCCGCTTTCAGAGTCCCAACCTGTAAGGTTGATCACTTCGATGCTGCCACTGAGGGCTCCTCCCCATCACCATACAGTATTTTAAAGAGAAAAAAAATCCTGTCATGAACATTTTCTATAACAGAATATTGCTTCAGTACAACTTTGGTTAAAAGTATGTGAACAAGAATCTGGTCATTATTATGAGGTTCACTGAGAACAATTTAGGCCAAAATGGTTTCATTTCCTCTCCAGACAAGTCTGCTGTGTAGCCAAGTAAGTGAGGGGCAGGGTGTTGCCTATGTGTCGACTCGGGCAAGGTGTCTGCTATGAAGCAATTTCTACGTCCTTACGCATAACTGGAGGAAGGCGGACTGAGCAAGGTTACAGCAGGGCTCGCCACATCCCAACGGGTCAACCTCGTCAACAAGTCAGGAGAGCCACTGACCCTCTCCTGCCCAGTGTTAAACGAGGACTTGAACTTCAATATGAAGATGACACAAATGTGTGTGGGAAAGCTGGTATTCAAGGTGTAAGCAACAGAATGCAGCGGGATGCAAGCTCCCACTCCCAGCTGGATGTGAACTCAGGTAAGGTCCCACGGGGAGCAGCAACGTGAAGGGCCCCGGCCGGAGGCTCCCTTGGAGCCAGGACAACAGTGTGGCCGCCGCATGGGAGGAGAGGCCTTACGCTGTGCTTGTGCCCACAGTTCAGCTCTCTACGGGCTGGCCGTGACGGGTCTGGAGACCCAGGAGCCGGAGGAAGAGCGGAAGGTCCCTGGGACGGAGGTAAACCAGAGCAGCAGCCAAGGACGCAGCAGACCGACCGCAGGCTAGAGTCCAGGTGTGCCCCTTAGAAACTGCCATCAGCACCAGTGACTTACCTCCCTAAGCCTCGGGTCCCTCATTCATACAGTGAGGATGAGAATAAGGGTACCTACCCATGGGTTTGAGAATTAAGTGACATAAGGTATGTAAAGTACTTAGAATAGAACCTGAAATAGTAAGTATACAATACACGTTAGTTATTATTACATCTAGATTAGAAAACAGATGAGAAAGTTAATAACCATATGGTTTCCACGTATCTGAGGATCTATCGTAAAGTTCTAAAATGAACCTTAAAGGGTCAGAGGCATTACATGCATGTGGAAGGGGAAAAGGGAGTGCAGACAAGGACCACGGCGGGAGCACGGGGAGGAAGGCAGGGAGACCAAGGACGCTCACAAGGGGGGAGGAGCATGGGAAAGACAGAAGAGGACAAGTAGTTCAATCTGACTGAAGTAAAAGTTTCCTTCTACACATTTAAAAAGAGCAAATCTACTTACAAACAAACCAAGATAAAAAACACCAAGAAAGCCTGGTTGAAAAAGCCATAGATACCAGCACTGGCTCTAGAGGAGACAGACGGGCTTTTGCTCATTGTCTTCTTGTTATTGCCACGTGCATTCAGTTTCTTGGGGTAGCTCAGTTTGTGTTCCAAAGACGAGGTGGAGGAGGAGCTGCTGATGGAGCCAAGCAGGGTACCTAAAACCGGTGAAGGAGAAGAACGCATCGCAGTGCAGACCATAAGAAGTGAACCAACAAGATGACTTTCCAGGTAAATCCCTCTGAAACCCTCCATTTAGCTTTCTCAGCTGTGGACTGTCTAGTGTTGAATTAAATGCCTGGTTTCATCCAACTGTCCTGCAGTTCATGCAGACAAGACTTTACCACTCAAGCAATTATACCGTGAGGATTCCCGCTGCACGAGGACACTCTCACAGGAGAGCACCTGTCACATCCGGGTTCACTGAAATCGACTACCTCCTTTGCTTCCCACGCTCTCTCTCACCTCCCACTCTAGATGGCTTAGTAGAATCCAATCTTATTTACACTTAGAAAGTCTTTCTCACAGGGTGCCTGGACAGATCCGTGGGTTAAGCCTCTGCCTTCGCCTCAGGTCATGATCTCAGGGTCCTGGGATCAAGCCCTGCATCGGGCTCTCTGCTCAGCAGGGAGCCTGCTTCCTACCCACCCCTGCCTTCTTCTCTGCCTACTTGTGATCTCTGTCAAATAAATAAATAAAGTCTTTAAAAAAAAAGTTTCTCTCACCTCCCAGTCTAGATGGCTTAGTAGAATCCAATCTTATTTACACTTAAAAAGTCTATTAATTTGTTTTAAGATAAAAAAGGGTAGTATTAAAATGTTTTGAGTTAACCTGAAGGCAAGCAGGAATACTCCTGAATGTGCTGTTCATGCTCTAGTCACCCAGTGATTTGACAGCTGAAGACAATTTTAAACATTTTTATCAAACCGTCTATACTTGGAGTTTCCTTTTAGTCTCCCATTTAATTTAGCCTGGTAGCTCTCTATTAAGCATACACAGAGGCACAACACAGTATTTTATACCAAAACCATGTATATACACTTTTCGATGAGCTGCTTCATGTATTTCCGAGGGTAATTTTTTACTGCAATGATTTTTCTCTCAAAAATGTTAAAACTTAGCCCCCATATAAGCTTTATCACTATGTCATTTTAAAGTCCCATCAGTAAATTAAATTTTTAGAATGGACATTATAAAATTATTTTACCATCTTTCTCTGTTACAGGTTTCGGCTCTTCCCCAGGAGGCAATGACAGTGTTGATTCAGAAGCATTCTCTTTTTTTGAGGTCATTAATCCTAGCACATAGAAATAAGACACTTTGAGCAAGAAAGAACGTCAACATTAAACATACAAATGTGCTTGCTGTTTAAAGTACAGACATCCCTCGTTATCTAAATCTTCTCCACTTCAGGAAACATGCTGGACAGTAAATTCACAGACAGCAGGGGCCAGTCCAAGATTTCATTACATGAAGGGGCGGTGGGGGGGAGGGGGGAGGAGAATGCATTCTTAGCCCCCCCTGAAAACTTCAATCAATTTCCTCAAATACCACCAAGGTCTCTTTTAGACCTATTTAACAATCCACTAAGGAATTCTAAATACTATAAAACAGTTAAAGCCCAGCTACCTAGCTGTTTGACTCTTCGCGCACTCATTAGTGTGTTCGCACAAGGCCAGCGGGCGGCGCGAAGCTCACGCAGCGGGAGGACGACCACAGCACACGCACCAGGCCTGGCCACGACTTACAGACTCCACTTACATGTCTGCAGATTAGCTACAGTAGACTTTCTGCCTGGGGAATTCTGGGTAAAAATGTTTGCCAACCGTTGTAGCCACTCGACACGAAAGCGAAAGTCAGACAGTGAAGAGGCCCACACTCTCTGCCCTTGGCGCTCTGACAATGACCTCCCCACCATCACCACACCCAAGTGTCACAAACAGACTCACTTTAAAAAAGAAAACGCCCACGAGTAACGAGTAACGCTTCGCCTTGTGAAGACTTCTGTTTCCAATTCTACAGAACCAGATTATTTAACTAGGAAACCTAACGGACTACGCCCAGTTTTAAATTCCATCAAGGACCCATTTCGATTCTTCCTGCTTAGGAAGCATCTGAGTGAAGGACTGTCGCACTCTGAGCCTCACCAGTGTGATTGAGACATGGTCCCCGCCTGAAAGGAGCACCTTTTCAATTCAGAATGGTAGAATGATGTGAGGATGAAGAACTAAAATATGAGGACATTTATTGATAAGCACAACACAGAGGAAAGAGGGAATAATTGTGGTTACAAAGATAAATTAATGCCTTACTGAGGAGATCACATTCTGTGATAGGTCTTGAAGGACAGGTAAGACTTCCAAGGCACCTGCGTGGCTCAGTCAGTTAAGTGTCTGTCTCCAGCTCAGGTCATGATCTCAGGGACCTGGGATCAAGCCTCACATTGGGCTCCCAGCTCAGCAAAGAGTCTGCTTCTCTCTCTCCTTCTACCACACCCACCCCTGCCATGGTCCCTCTCTCTCTCTCTCTCAAATAAATAAATAAAATATTTTTAAAAGAAAATACAAGACTTCTTCCAGAGCATACTGGAGGTAGGTATGTTCAGAAAGAACTGAAGATAGACATTCTAGATGGACAAAAAGAAAAGAAAAATCTTAAGGACAGGGTCAGAGGTAGACAAGTAGCGTGGCTGGAATACAGAGTACTTTTGGGACTTGGGAGAAGACAGACTGGGTAGACAGGTCAGGGAGAAATCTCAGGGAGGACGGTGCCAGATAAGGACCTGGTCCTCTTATGGAAGGAATGTGCCTCTGATGGACTTGGTGAAGGAGGGCTGGCATGAATAGAGGAGAGAATAACGTCACCCTGACAGCAACATTTAGAAGGAAGCGAGAGGGGCAGAAGTAGGAAGCACAGACCAGAGAGAGATTCTTACAATAGGCAGAATGAGGACCAGAGTAACAACAGCAGGAACTGAATGGGGGGTGGGTAAGAGAGACTCTGTGCAGGCACCCCATAGAGCACGTTTCTTATTTTTCAGTTTTAACATGTCCATTTGGTTCTTTCTTATTTGAATTTTTTAACTGAGTCCCTGGAGATTCACATGTAGTTGTATAAAGTAATACAGGGAAATCTCTTGCATTCTTCGCCATTTCCACAAAGGTAATTTTTTACATAACTATAGTATAATCCCACAAGCAGGATGCCAACATTGGTACAATCCACCAATCTTAGGTCGCCCCAGTTTTAACCAAACTCCTCTGTGTGTCCGTGCGCACATGCGTGTGGGCTCACACACCATTTGGTTCTTTTTTATATCCTCATTTCTCTGAACTTTCTTTCCACTTATTTCAAGAATATTAACATTAATTCTTAAAGAACATTTAATGTATTATTTAAAGTCTTTGTCTATGTCATGTCTGTGTCCTGTTAGGGTTGGCAACCTTTAATTGTCTTTTTCCTTGAGAGATGTTGAGATTTTCCTGGTTTTTCAATTTTGAGCCATTTGGGATTGTATCCTATACATTTTGAATATTATGTTGTGGGACTCTAGGTCTTATTTAAGTCCTATGGAGAAAGTTTATTGTTTTGTTTTGTTTCATTTTGTTTTACAAAGGAGTCAACCCAATCCAGTTCAGACTAGACATCCCTACCCACCTTCTGTGCCCTGTGGTTCCAATGTCAGTTCAGTTTCCAAAGCCTTTTAGGGATCTTTCCCCTATGATGTGCCATCCCACTGTGCCTGGGACCTGGGCAGTGATCTACCCCAGAGGCCAAAGCCTGTGGTCAGATCCACACATGCACCACTGGAGAGCAAGCCCAGGAGTTCACACCCAACATTCTGAGATCACTTTCTTGAGCTCCCTCCTCTCCATGGTCTCCCTGCTACTTTCTTGCTCCTGGAGACATCCCTTTCTGGTATCTGGGTAGGATGCCTAGGCTTTAGTTTCCCTGCTCAGTCATACAGTCTCCTGTATGACTCTTTGGAAACAGAAGGCAAACGATTGGGGATTCCATCCATGTTCTCGGGACCATGGTTTCTCTGGTCAGAGGAAAGGGTTCCCCTCCCGTGGGGTTTCAGGTGCTTCACCACCAGCGCTGATGCACCAGGCAGGACTGCCAAGGGACTGACCAGCATGGGAATGAACCAAAGCAGTGGGGAGGGGAGGGTGGCAGGGAGACTATCATAAAAAAGGGGGTTTCTTCCATTTTCTGTCTAGTAGGGGACCCATTCCCTAATCCTTAGACCAGAAACAGAGGGCTTCTCTTTGGGTTTCCCCTCGAATAATGGCTGTGAACTTCTGGGATTCAGGTTAAAAGGATACCATTTACTAATGCATCAAAAAGTATGAACTACCTAGGAACAGACCTAACAAAACTGGTACAAAAATAGCTGTAGAGAAAATCAGAAAATCTTACTGACATATTTTTACAGGACCCAATTAAATATAGCAATATTCCAAGCTTACAATTTAAAGACTGAATATTATAAAGATGTCAGTTCTTCCCAAATTGACTTATGGTTTAAATGTAAAACCAATAAAACTTTAGTAGATTTTTTTAAAGAAACTTAACAGCTTATTCTAAAATTTATATGAAAGTGTGATTTATAACGATCCAAACAGGCAAGACACTGTTTAAGAATAAGGTAGGAAGCTTTCCTCTACTAGATATCAAGATTTATTTGTTAAAAACCATAGTAGTTAGGAAGTGTGGACTGACATAGAAATATTCAAATAGCTCAATGGAAGAGAGCAGAAAGGCCAACCAATTCTTGGACAAAGTCCTTGAATCATAGTGGAAAGCCTTTCTGCTTCAGCCACTGATACATTAGCAAGTGCTTACCGAGCACGTATTTTGTGCGAGGAACTATACAGAAGTACAGAATACTCTCACATTCCATTTAAAGTTTAAAATTTTGCTGAGAGGATAAAGGATCTGCACAAAATGAAGCAGCTGGAGGACAAGACCCAAACTAACAAATAATTGTGTGGTGTGGATACAAGCGTACACAAAGGTAGACGGAAGAGAGACATCAAAGTGATCTGGGTCCCCAGGGAACTTTTCTTGGAGAAGCAGCGTCCAAATAAGGAGGTAAACCACAGCTAGGGCCTCAAAAGACAGAAATGAAATCACTGCACTCGGAGAAATAGGACGAGACAAAGTATGGAGGGAAGAGTGAGGACAAGCAGCCACAGTTCAACCACGACATAGCCAGAGACCCTGTTACACACAGCAAGGACTCAGACTGCCAGTCTAAAGACTCAGGACTTCTTCTGATTAAAAAAGATGTCACTAAAATTCTTGAATAGATGAGAAACATAAAGCTGGTTGTGTTTATAAGGATTTCTCAGAGGTCTAAAATCGAGCGTGGAGGTTAGATGAGGGGGGTGAGGAAGTTATGCAGGTGGTAGGAAAGAAAGGAACAAATGTAAAAATCTCTTGTCAGGAATCAAAATCATAAACCATGACTGATGTCTAAAAACATTTAAGATGCAGATTTTATTAAATTCAGGCTCCAGAATTATCTAACAAAAAATTGTGAAGCACACTAAGCATAAGGCAGTCCACAGGGGGAAAAAAAAAAAACCTGAAGAAGAGATTTAACCTTCTGCTTTGACCTACCAGTGTTTACTTTTGACGTTACATGAGTTACATCAATTTTCTGGGACCTGATGAGAGCCACAGCTTTTCCAGAAGAAGTGTGTGCTATATTCTTCCTTCGATCTTTTGCCTTACTTATCTTTGAAAGCGGTGCAAAAATACCTAAGGGGGGAAGGGAGGGCTTGAGTTAATGTGAAGCAATGAGAAGCATTTCAAATAAAGGGGCAAGTACAACCATTTGGTAACATAAATCTTAATTTCTTTTTTAGTGCCTACCAGGTGTCCTGTAAGGCAAGACAGGAAAAAAAGTGAGATGCAGTACTTGCCCTCAGAGAGCTTACAATCTAGCTGTCAAGAAGAACCACATACACAGCAATTTAAGAATCACATACAAGATGCATAATCAGGTATTATGTGAAATTCAGGGATAAAAGAAATGAGTGAACCTAATAGTTTTCCATTAGTAATTTCTGATTAAGCTATTGGCAATTGTAAATTTGTACGATCTTATTGGAAGACAAAAATTTCTAACCTAAGCCACTTTGTGGAAATAAATGATAAGGAAATAGAGATGTGTGCAAAAGTTACAAAGTTACGCTTGTATGGTATAAGGAAAAGATAGATTTCAAAAGCCAAAACAATTTCTTGTTTACTACTACTACGATCCAATTACACTTTTGGAAATTAATTATGAAAAAATTATTGGAAGGAAAAGACTGTATACCTGAGTATATCATCATCACAATGTCATTCATAAGTAGGAGAAAACAAGTATGTGGCAATAGGATGAATGAATGAACTATACCCATGAACATCACCATCAATAAATAAAACCATAAAAACTGAAAATACAGAAAAGCATGAAAATTATCAAGAAAATAAAAATGAAATTATATAGTTGATTACATTATGATCATATCAGAGAAAAGTTTTATGTGTGGATGTAAGAAATACTGTAAAAAACTGAAAACCAAAACATATTTATGGGAATAGTCAGATTACTCTTGAATTCTCTTTCAAATTTGCCATAATGCATTATAATGTTGTTTAATGAATTTTTTTTTTCTTAATCTGTGGAAGGTTACATGGTTTTTCTTTCAAGGTCTTAGTAGAAAATTTCCACACAGTATTATTCCACATAATATCTTCAATATTTATATAAAGTAAATATTTAGTACTATGGCTTTAAAAGATTTCTATAGCATATAAAACCCCACCTAATATAAGTTCTCATTTGTAGTGATCCGAAGGGGCATGTGCACCTGAATGTTTCTAGCAGCAATGTCTACAATAGCCAAACTATGGAAAGAACCTAGATGTCCATCAACAGACGAATGGATAAAGAAGATGTGGTATATATACACAATGGAATACTATGCAGCCATCAAAAGAAATGAAATCTTGCCATTTGCGACAACGTGGATGGAACTAGAGGGTATCATGCTTAGCAAAATAAGTCAATCAGAGAAAGACAACTATCATATGATCTCCCTTATATGAGGAAGTGGAGATGCAACATGGGGGGTTAAGGGGGTAGGAGGAGAATAAATGAAACAAGATGAGATTGGGAGGGATACAAACCATAAGTGACTCTTAATCTCACAAAACAAACTGAGGGTTGCTGGGGGGAGGGGGGTTGGGAGAAGGGGGGTGGGTTTATGGACATTGGGGAGGGTATGTGCTATGGTGAGTGCTGTGAAGTGTGTAAATTCAGTGTGCGATTCACAGACCTGTACCCCTGGGGATAAAAATATATGTTTATAAAAAATTTAAAAAAATTAAATTAAAAAATAAAGAAAGAAAAAAAGTAAGTTCTCATTCTTCCTGGTTTTTTTTTAAAGATTTTATTTATTTATTTTACAGAGATCACAAGTAGTCAGAGAGGCAGGCAGAGAGAGAGAGGGGGAAGCAGGCTCCTTGCTGAGCAGAGAGTCCGATGCGGGGCTTGATCCCAGGACCCTGAGATCATGACCTGAGCTGAAGGCAGAGGCTTAACCACTGAGCCACCCAGGTGCCCCTCATTCTTCCTGTTTTTTAATGAAATAAATCATTTGGAAGATCAAAACTAAATTTAGAGCAATGACTAGCTCCACCTGAAGACCAAAGTGCATGCAGAATATGGGCTAAAGTTCCTAGTAAGTAACTCGTGCTCATCAAAGTACTGATGGGATTTTGCTCAGATCTTGACATATACTCGTAAAGCTTAACTAAAATAAACACATAGGGAAGAATTATTTTTAAATAGAAGAAAAACACATTTCTAGATAAACATGGCCCCCATTTTACCACAACTCCTCCCAAAATTCCACCAAAATATTAGTAAGGAATAAAAACAATATAAACTCTGAAGAAAAAAGAAAATGATTTTTAAGAAGGGGGAAAAATACTAAAAGCTGCTAAGGGGTGGGGGGGAGTCAAACACGGAAGAAAGATTTTGCAACTTTTACACAGCAACACTGGGAACTCAAGATAGTAGCTGACAAACCAAGAGCCCAGAAGCCACATCCTGCCTACCACCTCTTGTCGTCAAGTCCCAACGGCACCCAGGTGTTTACACACAGTCTACAGCTGCTTCTTCACTACGACAGGACAGCTGAATAGCTGAGTGAGAGACTGTGTGGCTCTTGGCGACTAAAATACTTCCTCTGGCCTTTTACAGGAAGTTTGTCAAACTCCATCACATGTCAGAACACCACCTTTTAAATACTAAGAGAATATGAGTTCCAGCCTAACATGCCTTATCCCATCAAACTATCATATGAAGTGTGAGGGTAGAAATAAACATATTTTTGGAATGGAAGGCTTCAAAAAATTAATCTCCCATGAGCCCTTTGTCAAAAAGCTACTAGAGGATGTGCTTCACCAAAACAAAGAGGTAAACAAAGAGAAAAAATGACTTAGAATAATGAAGGGACCCAATCTTCCTCCTCATAGTATGAAGACAGTAGAGGTTTAAAACTGGCAAAACCAGGGGCGCCCGGGTGGCTCAGTGGGTTAAAGCCTCTGCCTTCGGCTCAGGTCATGATCCCAGAGTCCTGGAATCGAGCCCCTCCTTGGGCTCTCTGCTCAGCAGGGAGCCTACTTCCTCTTCTCTCCCTCTCTGCCTGCCTCTCCACCTACTTGTGATCTCTGTCAAATAAATAAATAAAATCTTAAAAAAAAAAAAAAACTGGAAAAATCAGGGGTGCCTGGCTGGCTCAGCCAGTAGAGCATGTGACTCTTGATCTCTGGGTTGTGAGTTTGAGCCCCAAGTCAGGCATGGAAATTACTTAAAAACAAAATCTTTTAGGGGCACCTGGGTGGCTTAGTCTGTTAAGCATCTACCTTCAGCTTAAAATTCAGCTTAGGTCATGATCCCAGGGTCCTGGGATCGAACCCTGCATTGGGCTCCCTGCTCTGCTTCTCCCTCTGTCCCTCCTCCTCACTTGTACATGCTCTCTCTCTCTCAAGTAAATAAATAAAATATTTTTTTAAAAAAACATTTAAAAAATAAAATAATCTTTAAAAGAATAAAAATAAAATTGGAAAAATCAAGAGAGATTCTTGTATTATTTACAAATATAAATATTAATATCAGAAGATACAACTAAAGACACTGAAATGGTTCTTGCCTCAAAAGGACAGGACACAGGGTCAGGGAAGGGCAAGCCAGGGAAGGATTTAACTAATGTTTTTAATAAACCTTATGATACAATTTGACTTATGTATTCACTTTGGTAATAATTAAAACACATAAAAATGGTATTGCCAAGTATTAAAATTTATTATAAAAATTTTCATAATTGCTAAAACTTAGAAGCAACCAAGATATCCTTTAGTAGATGAATGGGTAAATAAATTGTAGTACATCCAGACACTGGACTATTATTCAGTGCTAAAAAGACATGAGCTATCAAGCCATGAAAAGACATGAAGAAAACTTAAATGCAAATTACACAGGGAAAGAAGCTAGTTTGAAGAGGCCAGGTTAGTACTACAGAATTCCAAAGATAGGACAGTCTGGAAAAGACAAAACTAAGAAGACAGTAAAAAGACCAGTGGCTGCAAGGAGTTAAGCAGGGAGGGGAGGAACAGGAAGAGCACAGAGGATTTTCAGGGCAGTGACAATACTCTGTACGATACTGTAGTGATAGAGAGATGTCATTAAACACTTGTCCTAACCCACAGAACATCCACCACTAAGAGTGAACCCCAGTGTAAACTTTGGACTCTGATGATGACGAGTCAGTGTAGGTTCCTCTGTGTTAAGAAGTGTACCCTCCGGTAAAGGGACACTGATAATGGGAGTGGCTCTGCATGCATGGAAATAGGGAATACAAAGGAAATCTCTGCACCTTCCTCTCAATTTTGTTTTGAACCTAAGAAGCTCTAAAAAAAAAAAAGTCTAAAAATTATAAAACTTCTACAAATGAAAAAATCTAATATGGATGAGAATCAACAGATCAGTTGTACAAAATAATACTGAAACAGACTATAGCATTTATAAGAATTTATAATAAAGGAAGCACAACAAGCCAAAGGAAAAACAATATGGGGGGGTAGAAATCTGTTGCTGAGAAGAGACAAATTCTTTGGTTTCTGCTTAGGGCAACTCTCATTTTTCCATAATCCAACACATGATTCTTGCCCCCCAAAACTTGGCTTTAAGCATGTGAAAGGGACAGAAACAAGGTCCTTGGGGCATCCAGCTTTGTCCTCATCAAGCATGGACAACCTTGGGATGATGAGATTTGGGGGACAACATACATTCTGCTACCCGCTAAGCCTTTCCCACAACTCTGACATGCGCCCTGTACGTTGTTAGCAGTTTTGATCCTTGCTCTCAGTCTGCTTGACAGATGCCACAATTAGCTAATGCATGAAAGTTAAAATCAAACTCTTAATTCCAGACAACCACCCAAATATATGGCAAATAGGTTAAATAATTAAGTGTTAAAAATTAAAACATTCAAAAGAATAAAATATATAGTTTTAAATTAATCCTTGGATTAGAAAGAACTCTCTAAGCATAAAAGCAATGTTAAGAAATCATAAAGAAAAGTTTTTTAACTACATAAAACTCTATGCCAAAATACTGCAAATAAAGTTCAAAGGCAAATGACAAACTGAGCAAAATATCATGTGGTAACTGTAAGTTTAACATCTTAAATATTGTATTATATATATTTATATATAGAAATATATATATAGAATATTAAATTAAATATTAAATATAAATTAAATATTAAATTATAAATTATAATATAATTTAATAATTTAATAAAATTATTAAATAATAATAAATAAAATAATAATAAAAATATAAATTATAAATTAAATATTAAATATAGAAATATTGTATTTCTAAAGTTTTGAAAAACCCGCTAATCTCAATTATTTCATTAGCATGTAATATGAACAATTATTTCTTAGCAATTGCCAGGATAACACACACATATACAGAATATACATATATGTTAATATGCGCGTGATATTAATATGCATGTATATGTTAATGTGTATATTAACATATATAGTATATATACAAAATATATATTGTATAATATATGCATATTAATATATATATAACACAAAACATTTTAAGTGTTTTATTTTACCACAATCAGAGAAATATGAATTCAAACAGAAATTTTTACCCATCAAATTAAAGGAAATGGAGCCATTAAAAATCACATTTTCAAACAGTATTTAATGATTTGGAGAAATTATAATAGCATGTCAAGTAAAAATACAAAATATATAACTATATATCAACCAAATTTTGCAAAAAGAAGTAAGCAGAAGAAACATACGGGTGATTTTTATTTTCTTTTTTTAACCTTTTTTATGGTTTTCACATTTTATACAATAGATATTTTTATAGACAAAAAAATGATGCTCCATCTTAAGTGTATGACAAAAGGAAACTGAAAATTTTGATAAATTTATAACAACTAGCAAATAGTTACCATTTGTTGAGTACCTACAGGGAATTAAGCACTGTTCACAGTGCTTTATACATTTATCAACACATTTAATCCTCATAAAAACTCTTGAGGTATTATTGGCCCCATTTTACAGAAGACAAACTTCTATAGAAGAGGCACAAGAAGAGAATTAAGATCACATAACTGGTAGGTGGAGAGGCTGATTCACACCTAAGCAAGGACTTCAGCATGAGACCAGAGGACCATCTGTGGAGCTACAACTGAAATACTATGCAACCAGGGAAGTTAATGTTTTAGAAGAATATTTCATGGCAAGGAAAAACAGTCACAACATAGCAAGTGACAAACAAATTTAATTCAATATGTCAAGGAGTCTGTCTGTGTGTATGTATATGAGAGAGAGAAAGAATATGAATTTAAAGAAACGTCTTGTCAGAAAGAGAATCATCCCACCTCAGAATATAGTTATAAAGTTCGCTTCACTTGCAAAAACTTTTCAAGTTTTTCAACCCCCAGACTTCTGTACTTCCTTGATAACAAAGTTGCTCCCTCAGTCATGACAGCCCCTGAGCAGGACTTCTGGAAGGTCACGGAACTGGATGTACTCTTGCTGAGTCACCATCTCCCAATCACTATACTGCTCACAGCGGGAAAGAGCAGCCCCTTCATTAACTACATAGATAACCAGGAGAAAAGCTCTACTTAAAAACAATTGAAGAGTAGGGATGTCTGGGTGGCCCAGTTGGTTAAGCTTGGTTAAGCATCCAGCTCTTGATTTCAGCTCAGATCATGAACTCAGGGTCATGAGATTAAACTCCACATTGGGCTCCAGGCTCTGTGAAGAGTCTGCTTGGGGTTTTCTCTCCCCTCTCCCTCTGCCCCTCCCACTGATCATGCTCTCTGTCTCCAAATAAATAAATAAAAATCTTTTTTTAAAAATTATAAAAATAAAAATAAAAGTAAATTTGATTATATTAAACTAATTCTCATTAAGTTAGATAGTATCTACCTTACCATATTTGGGGGCACATTTAAAGTACTGGATTTTCCCAACACTTCCATTGTTTTTCCCTTCTGGTTCATCCAGCTCAATGCCAGCCCACTGCCCACTTGCAAATTCAGTTGTTCCACAAAATCTTAATGTTCCAACCTAAAGAAAACATAAATCAGAATAAATTTTGAGGATTACTAGAAATTCTAAATGTGCCACTCTTGCAACTGTACCAGGGAAGTTTTTAAAAACTATTCTCTCAAAGTAGACTTTAGAAGAGGAATATTACCAGGGATAAAAAGAGGTATTATATAATGATAAGAGTCAATTCACCAAAAAGAATCCTAAATCTGTATGCACCTAACAACTCATTTTAGAAAATCTCCAAACATTTGGAAATTGAAAAATATACTGCCAAATAACCCATGGTGAAAGAGAAAATCACGGAGAAATTTAAAAACATTTTAAATTGAGTGAAAATGATAACGTAATATACAAAAATTTATAGGATGCAGCAAAAGCAGTGCTTAGAGGGAAATTTATAGCATGAAACACTTGTATTAGAGAAGGTCTCAAGTCAATGACCTAAAATTTCATTTTAAGAAACTAGAAAATGAAGACCCAAAGCAAGCAGGAGAGAAACAGTAAAGATAAGAAATTACAGAGCACCTGGGTGGCTCAGTCAGTTAAGTGTCTGCATTCAGCTCAGGTCATGATCCCCGGATCCTGGGATCAAGCTCCAGATCAGGCTCCCTGCTATGCAGTGAGCCTGCTTCTTCACTCTCCCTCTGCCCCACCCCCAGCTCATGCTCTCTCTCACTCTCTCAATCTCATAAATAAATAAAATCTTTTTAAAAAAGATAAGAAATTAAGAACAGAAAAAAAATAGAGAAAATCAATGAAAACAAAGGCTGGTTCTTCATAAGGAAGATAAGATTAATAAACTTATAGTTAGGGACCAAGAAAACAAAAGAGGGAGAAGACATGAACTGCACACATCATGAATGAAAACAGGACATCATGACATTCCTTCAGTCATTTAAAACATGGTAAGAAAATACTTTGAATGATCCTGTGCCTATAAATTTAACAAATGAGATAAAAAGTTCCAACTCCTAGAAAGATACAAACTGTCAAAGCTCACACCTGGATTATAGTTAAAAACCTTCCAAAAAACAAACCCTTCAGAACCTTATGGACCTACTGGTGGATTCTACCAAAGAATTTAAAGGAAGAGTAATCATCACTACACAAACCTAGTATATAAAAGTGGAAGGACTAATTCTCAACTCATTCTCAGCATTACCTTGATACCAAAACCAGACACAAAGATCATCAACAAAATAAGAGCAAATTAAATCCAGCAATATATAGAAAAATCAAATCCAGCATCATACAGCAAATCAAATCCAGCACCGTGGCCAAGTAAGGTTTGTCATGAGAAAGCAAGATTAATTCAATGCTTGAGAATTAATCAATATAATTTATTATATCATCCACATACTAAAAGGGTGGAAGAAACTTACTCTCAACATATGCAGGAAAGTCTTCAACAAATTTCAACATCCTTTCATAATAATAATTTTTTTTAAAAATTCTCAGCAAACCAGGATTAGACAGGAACTTCCAGAACTTAATAAATTAAGATACCCACAAAATCTATAGCTAACAATTATCACACTTAACAATGAAAGGCTGAGTGCTTTCTCCTTAATAGTGGGAGCAGGACAAGTTTATCAACTCTTAGTACTTCTACTCATCATTAGACTGGAGGTCCTAGGCAATGAAATTAGGCAAGAAAAACAAATGAAAGGCATACATATTGGAAAGAAATAAAACTGTCTCTACTCACAGACAACATGATTATTTACATATGATATCTCACACAAACAAAAAAGCCAAGAGAATTAATAAATTTAGCAAGGTTATAAGATATATGGTCAATATACAAAAATCAACTATTTTTATATGAAATTTCCAAAACACCACTATTTACAATAGCACCAAAGATCATGAAAAACTTTGGTATAAATATAACAAAGCATAGCAATATCTAAGATATGCTTAAAATACGATTGGCAAGAAAGAAGTCAAACTTTCATTATTTGCAGACATGATACTCTACGTAGAAAACCCCCAAAAAAAGACTCCACCGAAAAAACTGCTAGAACTCATACATGAATTCAGCAAAGTTGCAGGATACAAAATCAATGTGCATAAATCTGTTGCATTTTTATATACAAGTAACGAAGCAGCAGCAAAGGAAATCAAGGAATTGATCCCATTTGCAACTGCACAAAAACAATAAGATACCTAGGAATAAATCTAACTAAAGAACTAAAATATCTGTACTCTGAAAACTATAGAATACTTATGAAAGAAATTGAAAAGGACACAAAGAAATGGAAAAGCATTCCATGTTCATGGATTAGAAGAACAAATATTGTTAAAATGTCTATACTAGGGACACCTGGGTGGCTCAGTCAGTTAAGTGTCTGCCTTTGGCTTAGGTCATGATCCCGGGGTCCTGGAATCGAGTCCCACATCAGACTCCCAGCTCCACGGGGAGCCTGCTTCTCTCTCCATCCTTTACCCCACTCATCCTTTCTCTCAAATAAATAAATAAATTCTTTGGCAAACAAAAATTTAAAAAAATGTCTAGGGGCACCTGGGTGGCTCAGTTGGTTAAGCCGCTGCCTTTGGCTCAGGTCATTAACCCAGGGTCCTGGGATCGAGTGCTGCATCGGGCTCCCTGCTCAGCAGAGAGCCTGCATCTCTCTCTCCCTCTACCTGCTGCTCTGCTTACTTGGGCTCTCTATCTCTCTGTCAAATAAATAAATAAAAATCTTTAAAAAAAAAAATGTCTATACTACCTCAAGCAGTCGACACATTTAATGCAATCTCTACCAAACTACCACCAGCATTTTTCACAGAGCTGGAACAAACACTCCTAAAATTTGTATAGAACAACAAAAGACCCCGAATAGCCAAAAGCAATTCTGAAAAAGAAAATCAAAACTGGAGGAATCACAATTCCAGATTTCAAGTTACATTACAAAGCTATAATCATCAAGACAGTATGGTACTGGCATAAAAACAGGACACATAGGTCAATGGAAAAGAATAGAGAGCCCAGAAATGAACCCACAACTATATGGTCAACCAATTTTAAACAAAGCAGGAAAGAATATCCAATGGAAAAAAGACAGTTTCTCCAACAAATGATTTTGGAGAAACTGGACAGCCACATGCAGAAGAAGGAAACTAGACCACGTTCTTACACCATACAAAAAAATTAATTAAAAATGGATAAAAGACCTTAACATGAAACAGGAAACCATCAAAATTCCAGAGAACACAAGCAGAAACATCTTTGCCCTCGGCCATAGCAACTTCTTACTAGACACATCACAACAGGCAAGGGAAACAAAAGGAAAAATGAACTATTGGGACTTCATCAAGAATAAAAGCTTCTGTCTGCACAGCAAAAAAAAAAAAAAAAATCAACAAAACTAAAAGGCAGAACGGGAGAAGATATTTGCAAAGGTGACATATCAGATAAAGGGCTAGTATCCAAAATATATAAGGAATATATCAAACTCAACCCCCCAAAAAAACAAATAACCCAGTTAAGAAATGAGCAGATGACATGAATAGACACTTTTCCAAAGAACACATCCACATCACTAACGGACACATGAAAAGAGGCCCAACATCACTCATCATCAGGGAAAGACAAATCAAAACCATGATGAGATACCACCTCACACCTGTCAGAATGGCTAAAATTAGCAATACAAAAACAACAGGTGTTGATGAGCATGAGGAGAAAGGGGATCCCTCTTGCACAGCTGGTGGGAATGCAAACTGATGCAGCCACTCTGGAAAACAGTATGGAAGGTCCTCAAAAGGTTAAAAATAGAAACACCCTACGATCCATCAATTGCACTATGAGGGATTTACCTAAAGATACAAAAACACTGATCTGAAGGGATACATGCACCCCAATGTTTACAGCAGCATTATTAACAAGAGCCAAACCATGGATAGAGCCCGAATGTCTATCAACCGATGAATGGATAAAGAAGATGTGGAAAACAACTCAGCCCTAAAAAACGAAATCTTGTCCTTTGCAATGATGTGGATGGAGCTAGAGTGTATCGTGCTAACTGAAATAAGTCAGTTAGAGAAAAACAAATACTACATGATCTCACTCATATGTGGAATTTAAGAAAAAAAAAAAACAGATGAACGTATAGGAAGGGGGAAAAGAAAAAAAGAAGGAAACAAGTCATTAGAGATTCTTAATGCTAGAGAACAAACTGAGGGTTGATGGAGAGAGAGGGATGGGGATGGGCTAGATGGGCTTTAAGGAGGGCACGTGTTATGATGAGCACTAGGTGTATGTAATGATGAATCACTGAATTCTACTTCAGAAACCAATACTGCACTCTATGTTAACTATCTGAAATTTAAATAGATAAATGTTTAAAACTACAAAACTGATGAAACAATTCAAAAACCTACTAAACAGAGATGTATTGCAACTTGCGATCTTTTTTATTTTATTTATTTATTTTAGAGAAAGAGAGTGAGCACAAGCAAGGAGAGGGGAAGAAGGAGAGGAAAAGAGAGAATCTCAAGCAGACTCCATGCTAATTACAGAGCCCAACACTGGGCTCAATCCCATGACCCTGACCCTGAGATCATGACCCAAGCTGAAATCAAGAGTCAGCTACCTAACCAACTGAGCCACACAGGAGCCTCGATTATGCTTGGGTTTTAAAGACTCCATATCTTCAAGATATCTGTTCTCCTCAACCAATCTATGTCAATATAACTTCATTCAAAATCCCAGCAGGATTTTCTGCATGATTTAAAATCCATAAACTGATTCTACAATGTATATGGAAAGACAAAGAAACAAAAAACAAAAGCAAAAAAAAAAAACCTTGAAGGCCTGACGTCATGTGATTGCAAGATTTACCATAAGCTACAGCAATCATGACAGACTAGTACTGAAGAAAAGGTAATCATTAGATCCACAGAGTAGAATAAAATCCAGAAATATACCCACACACCTGAGGTCAGATGACAAAGGGGAAAGGGTGATTTAAGAGACAAATAACAGTGTTTTCAAAATATGGTGCAGGAACAAATAGGTAATCAGATGCAAAAAAAGAGAGAGAAACTCTATCTATACCTAGTATTCTGTATAAAAGTTAACTCAAAATTGAATATAAAACTAAATGTAAAACCTGAAACTATGAACTTCTGGGAGAAAATCTATGTACTGTATCTTCTACTGTCCTATGACACTGTAGAAAATTTCTTAGCTATGCTAAACACACAATCCATTTGAGAAAAAGTTGATAAAATGGGTTTCATCAAAATTTCAAACTTCTACTTTTTGAAAGAAATTCCTAAAAGGATGACAAGGCAAGCAACAGAGTGAGACAAAGCATGACGGAAGCAAGACTGTCCGTGCGACGATCAGGTTAAACCCAGCTGACTGGGACAAGCACGCTCATTATACACTTTTATTTTTGTGCAGCTTCAAATTACCCAAAATGAAAACAACAGAATAACTCTTCTAAACATCCATTCTGAGACACAGGACAGGAATTCTGAAGAGGCTGAATATTAACCCCAAGTTAAAAAAAAAAAAGCTAACTAATGTCCAAATGTCCTAGGAATATATTCTTTTGGAAGCTGGTAACTGCCACTCTCAATCATCTGTCTGGAGTTTACCTTCCTTTCTCAAGCAATTTTCTCAGTAAATCAAGCTTCCAGATTTGGGTATTTTCTGCAAGACTCATGTCACCCGCCCCACAAGCCCACCCAAATATTTACACATAACTGAGTTAGGAAACGGGAACTCCCTGGTCCCGTCTCCATACCCAGCTCCCTATTAAACCTAAAGCTAAAGAAAATGAAACAGCCCTTCCCTATGAGGTATTAAAAAAAAGAATGGCTGGCAACAAGACAGCACCATAAGGACACTGAGACTTTGGAGAAAAAGAGTCATCTGGAGCATCTTCAGTAGGCTGGGGGCTGGGGCCTCTTCCTCTTTTCCACATACATTTTTATTATGACATTAAAATAACATCTAAGGTTTCTCTATAGGATCTCAAGGCCAAATATCCATGGATGGTAAGAGTCTCCTTTGCTCCATTTCCTGCGAGGTAGCTGTAGTGGGAAAACCCACTGAGGGCAGCCGGGGGGCTGCACGAAAGCCCTCCAGGCTCAGCAAAGTCTCAGCTCGGGCCTCCAAATGCATGCAGCCCTGCTGGACCCCACTGTCCCACCCAGCGGAGAGGCCTTCGGTATTCCGTCCGGGGGTAAGCCTGCCCCTCAGTTTCGCCATTGCCATTAAGTCTGTTTCTATTTGCACTCTGCACTTTTTCTAAAAACTCAAAACTCTGGCCACAGTGTATGGCCACACTGTGACCTCGGACACAGCCGCAGAGACGGCGGTTACTTCCCGTACCTTCTGTCCTGCGATAATGACGCGATCCCCCAACTTCAGACCGAGGGACGAGAGCATCGCCTTGCTAGTGACGCGGTCACAGTTTGGAAGCAGGGGCTTTGAAATGTCGCACGACAGGGGCACCGCATCTAACAGCATCTGCTTGATTTCTTTAGCGGTCGCTGCGGCATCGGCCATCTCTAATGGCATTTCCACTGGGTCCGGAACCACGTCAGCAGGGATCTGTCCTTTGTCATTCTGCAAATACAGGGAAGAGAATATTTTTACTCCATATCACTTACAGCTCTACATGGTCATACACAGTTATTTAAAAAAAAATAAAAGTGAAAAATAAACTTAAGTTCAATTCATTCACTGTGTCATCAAACTATTTACTGAACATTGACAACATGCCAGGGGCCGTCCCAAATGTTCCTGACGCCCCAGCGAGGAGAAAAAGCCCTGTCCTCAGAGAGCAAGCCATCTGGTGGGAGAGACAAACCACACACAAACGAGTGAAAGAGATGGTCCATCCAATGGTTAAAAAGTGGCAGAGAGAGCAGCAGTTCCGAGAAGGGAAGAAGAGAACACCAGGAGGGTGACATCTAGGCACACAGCGCAGCCAGGGAGGGACGCCTGGGACCCACGGAGATGTGGGAGCTCCGTGCAGGCCAGCTGGTCGGGGAAGGCGGCCCCGGCTCGAAGCATGAATGCTGGAGCTCGTGAGTGGATGGCATCCCTGGCCACGCAGGTGTAGACACAGAATTCATAGCACTGACTTGGCCTCCCAACACCAGGTCCAAGATTCTGCCGCCTCGGCCGTCTGACCTGACCCACCCTGCCCACGCAGGGAGGGACTCAGATTTCAGGAATAGAAACTACAGTATCAATACTTCTAAAGTGTGGGCTATAATCAAGAAAACAGGCCTGGTCTCACTATAAAGGACAGACTGCCTCCTTTGGATTTAATCCTCCAACAAGACAAAATGGTCAGTTACAAGCCCACTAACATCTGCGTGGTGTTTCTAAAACCAAATCCTATCATCTAAATTGTCTCATTTGATTCTCACGTCAAGAAAAAGCTTACAAATAAGACAGATAAAAATCCATGCCGAGAGTATATATCGTAGTAGAAGCTACAATAACCAACTGAACAAGTAAAATATGACTATCATTTCTGGTTTGCCAATTAGGGAAATTCAGCAAGGAAAGTTAATGACGTCTTTCAAGTCATTTATAGGATTCCTGGCAGATGGGACATCTGAAGCCATGTCTAAGACCTGCTACACTCAGCCCTTCTCCTACGTAGGGCTATCCTTCCCTCAAACACAGTATCTCTCTTTATGTTCCTTAACCAAAAAAAAATTAGATGTTACAGGAGAGCTTCCAGACTGTAATCTTCTTTTAATATGATTAACTGAGATTTCCTGTGCTGAGAAACTTCTTTTCCTTATCTTCTCTGCTGACAACGACCTTCAAATGATCCATATGGATGAAAGAATAAGGCTTTTAGAACACACTTAGTTTGTGAGTGCCTCACAGTTTTTGTTTTAAAATTCAAGTCAGCTTGGTCCTAAGTAAAAACATGGCAGGGAGACATGTCATCAAATTTCTGAGATGGTGATGGGGCTGTTTTAAAGAATTTCAGATTTCAAAGAAAATATACAAAATATAATACAGGTATGTATAGCAATTACATGTGCTCTTGATAAAAAGGGGGGAGGAGTTTTTTTAAGCCTTGTACTGATGAGTTGTAAACTATACTGACAAAGACTATTTTACTTTAGGTTTTTAAGTCCTCACCTTTCTAGAGTAAGTCACACAGTTAATTCCTATAAAATTTGGCAACTAAAATTTCCGTTAAAAAAATTATAATAAAATTTTAAAAATGATGATGTCATTATCATCTTCTTATGCTAACATAAGAAGGCTTGCTCATGATTAATTACAGAATTCCAATTTCTTCTAAAATTGTGGGTACCAGAGTATGAGCTAAGGGCTACTGCTGACCCACATGTTGGCTGCTTTTCTTTTGTTGTTAAGTATTAACCATCAAAATACAATAATTTATTATTGTTTCTGGCTTGAATTGGACATTTACCTCAATGACATGCCTCACTGCATTTTACTAAATTCAAAATAGTCTCTCCACTAAGGAGGTTTTGTCAACAGTAATACTAGGAAAAATAAAAATATATCACCTTCACATTCCAGCCAAATTGGAGGATCAGCTCCTAGCCTTGGTGAATGCTAGTCTCCTCTCTGCCTAAAAGGCTTTTCAGACCTCCCTCCTCTAACTGTGTTTCAGACCTCCCTCCTCCAACTGTGTTTAGGTGCCCAATGTCACCTTTGCCAGAAAGACTTAGAGAGATGCCCCTCATCTCTGCCCACCCCCACATCGTAACCCATTGAATGTCAATGCACAACAGTAAAATTACTCGTCCATCCTCCCCTCTAGACTATATTCTCTTTGGGGACAAAGACTTTTATTTATTGTATTCTCCCCGTGCCCAAGAAATAACAGGGAAGGAGGGAGGGGGAGTGGGGTAAAGATAGAGGGGAGAAGGGTTAATTAACTAATGATGGGGGTAAAACAGAAGGAACAGCGGCAGAAAGAAGCCGGGAGGAGAGGGGAAACTAGAAATCGGGGAGGAGAGGACAAGGTGGGGAGGGAAGAGGCTTTTTCAAACACTGCCCCCCTCCCTTCCCTTCAAAGGATGGCCCAGACCCAATTAAAAATCCCTGCCAGAGGAAGTCACTGCTATTCATATTGAGGAAAAGAACAGTGACAGCCACTCTGTAAAGACAATAAAGTACCAGAAGACTTGAAGATTATGAAATTCAATCCTGTGTGTTAACTTCGTAGATTTACTAATTTACATGATTACCATGAAAAAATTCATTTTTCCTTTAATTTTTAAAGGTTTACTACACTCCTAAATGTGCATTTTTAAAAATTTTCTGGAATAAAATGTCTTTCCAAAAGAATTAAAATATGATTTAATGTAAAACTTTCACTATAACATATGCATTTTAATTTGATAGTTAATTCTTTATAAATATATCAAAAAACTAAATGAAAACACACTCAAAGATGATGACACATTACGGAACATTTTACCTCACTGAATGAAAGGAAATTTTATAGAACTTATCAGGATAAGGGGACTGAAATTCACTGCTATGCCTTATATTTATTGGAGATAAAGTTCCATTGCTCTTTCTACGCAGCACAGAAACATAAATTCTTTACTTGTATGAGTTCCATAACAACATCCAGATTCAACTCTTTACTGGAAGATAATGTTAGACATTTTAACTCTTTAAACATTTTTCACTTTTAATTTAACCTCTTACCCTAAATGCTGGATTTGCTCCAAGCTCCAACAAGCATCTCACAGTACTTGCGCACAAGTTATAAGCAGCGATATGCAGAGCTGTTCCAAAATTAAAGTCACTGCAAGTGGCGTCTACATCTGCAATTAAACACCGCCAAGTATATTAACTAAAACTTTAAATTTAGCTATGAGTACATAAAAGGAAACAGGTGGGATTGTTGTTTTTTTTTTTTTTCTGGTTGGGGTGGGGAGGGAGAACTCAACCCCACCCACTAGAAGCACCATTTCACAATGGAACCAAATCTTTGTATCACAATCTGGTTAACCAATTTAATTATTTTCTCAGTACAATAAAATTTCATTATTAACATGGGCTGGTATTGTCCTAGATTTTCCAGCTATCACAAACCAAACTCTAGAAATTATATTTAAAATAAATAGATGGCAATAATTCATGTTTGTAAAAGTAAAAACGATCTTAACACAGTTTCTCATGAGCTTCTTGCATATGTGTTGTGACAGCTACAATGAGGTAGTAAGGTTTAGGTCAGGAACCAGCCCATGGGCAAACACAACTCACCATCCACTTTTATAAATAGAGCTTTATTGGAACATAACCACAAATACGTGTTTACATACTCTCCATGGCTAGCTCCCTGATGTAACTGCAGAATCAAGTAGCTGCAGCGGTCCACAAAGCTGACAGCATTTCCTACCTGGCCCTTCACATAAAATGTTGCAGGTAAAACAATGCAGAATTTCAAATCGGGAGTAAGTTAAAGACTAATTAAATGTACAAATGCTCTTAAATCATATTCATTTGTAATACTGTATTCAACAAATGAATTTGGACTTCATGGTAGGAAAAAAGAATCTTGCAATTCTAAGGACATTTTAATAACTTTCAATAATTTTAATAACTTTCAATAAATCAGTAGCATCTAAGACAATATTCTTAGATACAAGAAATCTTCCAGATTCCCATTCCAGAATGGGAATCCCATTTTGCATATTTTTGATAACAAGGGTTTAATATACCTGGTTCTACTAATTCTACTTTAATCTAAACCACACCGCCCCACATGAACTACCTACAATTGCAAACAACTAAAACATGCTCAGGACAAACCTTCTTGAGTTATTAAAGACACTGTAAAATCAAAAGAGGCTTTCTTCATAACATCAGTCAAAAATTAAAAGGTAAAAGTTAAAGATAAAATGTAAGACTATACAAAGCAGAGTGAGAAACAAACATTCTGGGAATTTAGCTACTGAATCGTTACTAAAACAAGTCTTCTATGAACGTGGAAAACACTGTATACCACTCACCTTTAACTTAGAGTAATACTACTGCATTTGCTCTCATATTTTTCTCAATAGAAAACTGACCCACTGAGAGGACCAAAGAGAAAGTCAAAACACCAGTACTGTAATAGAGACTGTCTGATACTCAATTTTAGGATATTACCATCAAAATAGGAAGAGGGGTGGAAACCTGAATTTGTATCCTTCTTTAATCAGAGAATTTCAGAACCAAATGCCATCTAAAACACGTCTTATGATTTCAATGCTTAGGACTGAAAGCTTTGTTGTTCTATTTCTGGCTACTCAAGACAAAAGAATTATATAGCACATAGATTCAATTACACTTCATAAAATCCAGGTTATATGGGGAATTTGCAGAGATATAAAAACCCAGAGAACACTGTCTTACTTTGTATCTCTTTATACTAAACCTTTTGTTTAACAACAGCAATTAGTCTTTAATAAAGATATTAAACTATTCCTGAGAAAAAATGGTCATATGGAACAAGATGGATTAGAAGCAGAAATCTCTTTGAATTTTAATTTTTATGCCACTAATAAAGTGTCAACTAATAACATCAAATGGTGAGCTTACAGTACTTGCCTTTTGGTTTAGATGTCTTCAAAATCACTTTTATAAGCTCAGGGACATCAAAATAAGCAGCATAGTGCAAAGCATTCATATTTGTCCAGCGACTCCGTAAACTAACATCTGCTCCCAGATCAATAAGTTGAGTTGCAAATTTTACAGCTGTATCAACATCACCTAAAGAAAGTTTTCTATATTATTTTTCTCCAGTACAACCTGAAGTTCCAGTGGATGGCTAGCTACTACCTTATTTGAAAAGCCAGAGCAAATAGCATACTGAATCAACATATATACCTCAAAAGTTTCACTTACAAGGAATTTTTTCTAAAAAAAATCATACTCAGAGATATGGATAAACACTCAGTTGTAAAGATGTTCATCACAGTACTTTGTATTTGGAATAAAATTTTGAAACTAAACTACTTTATAAATAAATAAACTATTTTGTTCTAAAATAAAATTCTAAAAGTACAATAATATGAAATTGGTTAAATAAATCATAAGTGATTCACATACTAGGATACTATAAAGCCAATAAAAGCAATGCCCAGACCAGTGCTACTCAGCGTGCTCTGTGGACCACTACCAGTCCCAAACTGTCATTTCTCTGTCCTTTGGATAACCCTTTTCTTTTTCCCAATGCAATAATTTCTTCAGAATATATGAATTGAAATGTAATATTATGCCATCTGAAAAACAATTAGGCTTGTATTTTAAGTCTTTATTTGATTTTTCTATTATAATTTCATTTGTGTTTTTTTTTTTACAAAAATCAGTCCATGATGGATTGTAAGAAAAAAAAGTCCTTCACTGTTAACAGCTTCTTAAGAAGCATTTATCAGACTACTGAAACAGGGAGAGATACTCACAATACATAGTTAAGTAACAGAGGCAGGTTTATACATTGGTAAAGCACAGAATGCCAATCTGGGAAAACATGCATATGTTATATATACAAGAATACTCCTTGGGCCTGAAAACTGGGGTCTGTGAGGACTGGGATGCTTGGAAAACAGCTTGGATTGTCTAACCTTGATGTAAACTCTCAGGAACGTTCTAGAGTGCTACCAGTTACTCTCACCTATTGAGAATGTAGCTATGAAGCCTGCTCTAGAAAAGCTGGGAGGTATCAGGAGACTATAAAGACTCCCACCCCTGAGAAAAGTGGGGGAAAGGAATACAGTTTTGGGGAGGACCCAACTGTATGCTTGCCTGTTCAGGGGACGTTATTATCATCAGCTAGGTGCCCTCCCAGGGACTCTGGTGGCATAACACAGCTTATACAAATATAAATACAGATGTCTTAAGCCACTAGCTGATTCACCACACACTTACCGATACCGTGAGCTCCAGATTTGCAAGTGTAATGTAAGAGAGTCATATCCGTCAGTCCGTCTCTGTCATTCACGTTGCAGCCTCTCTTAAGAATCTGAGGAAACCAAGAAGATGTGACAACATGATGACTGAACACTGATTTCAAACCCACGCTGGGAACCAAGTTAATCCATCCTATCAGAATTAGTTCTCAATAAAATGAGTAGCTAGAACTAGCTTCTCTTAAGGATAAATTTTAAATTCTACATCCAATAGCAATAATGAAAATAATTTGTCATTAGACTGAAGGAAATTCTTAAAGACCATTTCCAGGTAATCTGGCACTCTAAGTATGTCCCCAAGGGATAAACAAAATTTTCATTCTAATGGGTGTAATGGTATTTGAAAAAATATGTAAGCTCTCTCTTTTTACATGACAATATGCAGGTCAAAAAACCCAATTATTCTTTCTTGCCTCCTTCAAAAAATCAAATATTTTTGAAAACTATATTGAAGCCTACATCTTTACCAGACTACCCAAAAGTATGGATAAAACATGTTGGTAATCAAATCTCCTCATGAAATGTATTTTTTAAAGTCTACAGAATAAAGGTGTACAAAGAAAGGAAGTATGGAAAACCAAGAGTCTCTAACATCAGAACTCTAGGCATAAGCAAGTGAGGAGCATGAGGGAACAATGGAAAGAAGGAACAATACTAACTCAACTGCCTCATGCAAAGCCTAGAGATACAAAGAACAAACATTAGAATTTTTAAAAGATTTTTCATTTACCATCACCTTTCCATTCAGATGGTGGGGTTTGCTGGGGGGGAAGGAGGGGAGCATTTATACAATTAAAAATCCTAACAATGCAAAATGTAAAATGGAAGAATTCCTTACCTCATTTCCAATAATGTCAATGTTTTGTTGGACCTGAGGAACCCACTGTCTTAAAATGGCAAATAATTCTGATACAGAAGTTTTGGGATCAAAGAGAATTTCCTGGCATGATGTATCATTAGGATCAAAGAAAGAAAACTCTGTTTGAAATTAAAAAAAAAAAGGTATAAATTAAACTTATTAAAAGTGCCAAATAAATATATTGAAAATAATAAACACTAAGATTAGGGCTTAAATGATACAGATATTTTTAGATGTAAGAAAAAGTAGGTTTACATTAAGCAATTTTCAGAACCAAAGTCAAAAGAGCCAAAAAATATGCAGCATTCCTGAATTACTGTGGGAAAGAGATTTCTGGGCATCATACCACATTTTATTAGAGACAGAACAAAAAATGTGAGCGCACCAGTCTCAGACCTTGAACTTTCCAACAACTACTTCTAAGGCACAGAAAATCTGTCAAATTTTATCAATATTTTCAGCTCTCACAACATAAATATGGCATGAACAGTAGACTCACATCTATAATTAAAACACACAGAAAAGGGGGAAATGCCAAAATATCAACTGGCATGCAATTTTATATAAATTCTTTTTACTTCTCTGTGTTTACCTAATTCTTCTATAAGAGACAGGCATTACCCTCTACCCCCTGAAGACGCATGAGAACTGTGACGCCAACCGACAAGGGACCAACAGCTGGTGATGCAGAAGTGAAACCCTGGGCCAGAGTGACGGGGTGATTTGGGGATGTGTATTAGTAAAAACATGGAATTCTAGCAAAATTGAACATGACTGAAATACATCTTAAAACTTCTCTAAGATTCACAGAAAACTTTGGTCAGCCTATGGCTAAAGAAGAGATTGGGAAAAAATCAGATTCTACTATCTTGAACAAACCAAAAAAAAAAAAAAAAGGTGGGGGAGCAGGCAAGGAATCTAAAAAACCAGAAGCATCTAAGGGAGGAAAGCATGAGAGAACCAACATTCGCTGAGTACTTACAACTTACCAGACAACCTACACATCCTCACAAGCACCCTACCTAGGAAGTACTATTATTCTCACCTTGCAGGTAAAGAAACCAAAGCTCAGACTAAATCATACTTGCTCCAAGTCACACAGCTAGTAAGTGGCACATCTGGGGGTAGAAAACCAGATCTGTATCCAAAGTCTCTATTGTGCTGACTCTGTAAGAGAATTCACTATTGAAGTCAGCTTTTAATAGCATACATAAGTAGCAGGATTCGTGTTGTTTTTTTTAATGCTCTTTGCATTTTTATATATTTTCCAAAATCATACTATATACACATAATTCATACTATAGAATCAGGATAACTAAAAGGTGAGTGGAAAAGCACAAAACCAAGTATGCATATGAAAGGAGAGCAGCAGTCCGTTAGGAGAGAATCAGAAAAACTAAACTAAAATGACATACTATCTAAAATCTTTGACAACAGAATGGCCCTCTAGGTTCAGAAAGGAAGACTTAGAAAAGAACAGGTATCCAATAGAGAGAATAACCTTGCATGGTTTCTTGAACACAGATTTGGGTAAATTTCTTATAATAGCAGCTGACTAGATGGGGTGGGGGTCGGGGTATCTAACCGATTATTCAATAAATATGGATCAGTCTCTTTTCGAAGCACTGGGCATTGATAGGGGAGAAGTTTCTAAATATATACCTAGAGGCTCTTCAGAATGTGTCCACAGGAGACAGGTTCAAGAATTTTTATTCTAGCATCAAGTATAATGGCAAAAAAGCTGGGCTGAAACATCTCTCTCCATAAAGGAATGGATAGAATTGGCATATTCTATTTTTTGCTTTTTAACAACTAAAGAAATGAATTAGATATCTAAATCATGAGTTGATAAGGCTAGGTTTCAAAAAACATACAGATTGATAAATTAAGCTGCAGAATAATATGCAGTTTCTATCATTTACATAAAACTAAAAACACATAGAATAATACTACATATCACTTAAGTATACCCATTTATGTAGTAAACATCTGATAATATGGTCTGGAATATTCATACTATATATATGATATTGGTTGTCTCTGGAGAGCAAGGGGAATAGGACCAAAAGAAAATAGAGGCAATTTCAACTTTAAGGCTTTCTTGTAACTAAAAAATAAGAGCTAAAGGAAAAAATGACAAAAGTGCTAATATTTATCCTTTCTGATGGTGGATATGTGTGGCTTATATGTTTGCTACTATATTTTGTGCATTTTTACATGATTTCCTATTTTTTAAAAAAGAAAAAACAATGGAAAAAGCATCCCATACACAGTATCAATGGAAGTAGCAAACATGCCAATGAATGTGTGAGACTTCTTTATAAAAAACTGGAAGAGGAAAGTTGACTTCAGTGAGTGAGACACATCATGTTGTGGAACTAAAAAATGTCTAAAGCTGCCAATTTTACCAAGAACAATTATTTAAAATAATTTCAATTCTAATCAATATCTCACCAGGATTTATTTGTGAGAGGAGATACAGAATTACTCTATGGTTCATCAGTAGCAGGGTTTTCCAAACATAAACATAGATAGGAATCAGGTAGGGATGTTGTTACAATGTTAATTTTGGGAATTGTCCCACTTTATGTCAGGATAGACATAATTTCAATTCTAATCAAATCTAGTCATTAGAACTAGATTTACCCTTCCACCTGAAACATCAAAAACAAACAAACAAAGGAAATAGATAAAATGCAGTTTTCAAGGACACTGGACATCAAAGCAATGGAAGACAGTGATCATAAGAGACAGGATACAGATAAGGTGGGTCTTACAATTGCCCCAACTATCTGCCTTGAGAGTTTCCAGGTCCCAGTGCAGAGAGAGGGGAAACCAAGAGAAGCACAGAAGACTCCCTGAGTTATGGAGACAACACTGAGACCCAAGAAAATCCAGGGAGCTAGAATTCACAGAAAAGAATATCAGAGAGGAGAGAGATACACAGCAAGAGAACCCCAAAGATCTATGAAAGGTCTTACTGAGTGTTTAATATACACTTGTGAGGAAAACTTGAAATAAGAGAAAGAACCTTCCCAACAGATTAAAAAGATTAAAGCCCAGTGCTCATAAAGGGCATAAGACAGTACCTGTTCAGATGAATGGATAAAGACAATATGGCACACGCGCACGCGCGCGCACGCAAACACACACACACACACACACACACACACACACACACACGGGAATATTACTCAGCCATCAAAAAGAATGAAATCTTGCCATTTGCAATGACATGGATGGAACTAGAGGGCATTATGTTAAGTGGCTTAAGTCAGTCACGGAAAGAAAAATATCATATGATTTCACTCATATGTGGAATTTAAGAAACAAAACAGATGAACACGGGAAGAGAAGGAAAAATAAGACAAAAACAGAGAGGGAAACAAGCCATAAGAGAGACTCAACTATAGCAAACAAACTGAATGTTGCTGGAGGGAAGATGAGTGGGAGGATGGGGTTACTGGCTTATGGGCTTTAAGGAGGGCCCCAGATGGAATGAACAATGGGTGTTATACGCAAGTGATGAATCACTAAATTCTACCTCTTAAACTAATAATACATTATATGTTAATTAAATTGAATTTAAATTTAAAATAAGTAAATGAGGGCGCCTGGGTGGCTCAGTGGGTTAAGCCTCTGCCTTCGGCTCAGGTCATGATCCCAGGGTCCTGGGATCGAGCCCCACATCGGGCTCTCTGCTCAGCAGGGAGCCTGCTTCCTCCTCTCTCTCTCTGCCTGCCTCTCTGCCTGCTTGTGATCTCTATCTGTCAAATAAATAAATAAATAAATAATCTAAAAAACAGATTTAAAAAAATAAAATAAAATAAAATAAAATAAGTAAATGAAAGAAAAGAAAAATAAAATAGTGCCTCTACCCACAAAAAAGACTAGGGAAAAAATTCACAGGGCACTGGGTAGAATCCTGAATACTGAGGAATAATTGGCCACAGATTAGCACTGCTCCAGAACCACCTAACAAATCATAACAAGACCTGAAAGGGCCAAACTATTTCCAAGGAACTTAACTGCACTCCACAACAAAATTCAAGAATACTTACAGGAATAGAAAAATATCCAGCACCCAACAGGTAAATTCACAATGTCTGGCATCCAATCACAGATTGCCAGGCATGCAAAAAAAGGGGTAACCATGAACCATAATCAGGGATAATCAACTGAAACAGACCTAGAGTTGAAACAAAACTATAATTAACAGAAACGAACATTACAACAGCCATTATAACTGTATTCCAAATGTTCAAATTTTAAGTGGAGACATGGATGACATGAAAAAGACCCATATCGCCCTTGAGAGAGAAGAACAACAGCTGTGATGAAAACTGCACTGGATGAGATCAGCTGATCACACATGACAGACGAAAAGATGAATGAACTTAAAGACATAGCAGCAGAAACTATTCAAAATAAAACACAAAAAGAATTTTTTTAAATACGAAAAAAAGCATCAATGAGTTGTGGGACAACTTCTAGTGGTTTAATGTTCATGTAAACTGGATTGTCTGAAAGGGTCACGGGGCAGAAAAAAATATTTGAAGATATGATGATCTCCCAAACTTGATGAAAACTGAAACCAACAGGTCTGAGAAGCTTCACAGGCCCCACACAGAAGCACATAAAGAAAATCACACCAAGACACATCATAGTAAAATTGCTCAACACCAGTGATAAAGAGAAAATCTTAAAAGCAGCCAGGGGACCAAAAAAAAAAAAAAAAAAAAGAAATAAAATTCAGAAAAACAAAAAATAAAAAAAAATTCCTAAAAGAAACAAGGGAAAAAAAAAAAAAAAAAAAAAAGAGTCATTACATTCAGAAAAACAAAAATTACAGCAGATTTCCTATCAGAAACAATGCAAGTAAAAAGACAATGGAGCAACATCTTTAAGCACTGAAAGAAAAAACTATTAACCTAGAATTCTATACTCAGCAAACCTATTTCTCAAAAAAGAAGGTAACATAAAGATGTTCCTAGACATCTAAAAGCTGCAGGCGTTCCTCACCAGCAGATCTGCACCACATGAGATGTTCAATGAAGCCCTTCAGAGAGAAGGAAAATGGTATCTCCTGGAACTCTAGATCTGCACAATAGAATAAAGAACACTAGAAAAGATAACTAAATGGGCAAATAAGATATGTTACCATTACTTAAATCTCTTTAAGAGGTAACTCACTCTTTAAGGAAAAACAGTAAAAATGTGTCATGGGGTTTATAACATACATGATATGCATTCTGTGTAATCTGGATTCCAAAAATCTTCATATTGCCTTGCAGGGTAACCACCTGGAGAATCAACACTGACTTGCTTGTCTAACCTCTGGTTTGTGCAGTTGGTTTTCTTTATTTCTTGTTTTAATCTCATTATCAGTCTCACATTCAATGGCTCTCATCACACTCAGGATAAAATACAAATTCCTTACCAAGGCCTCAATAATCCTGCATGATCTGCCCCCTGCCTTCCTCTCCATCTCCTCTCCTATCATTCTGCCCCTCAGCCACTTTGCTTCTCAGCCACCATGGCCTTCCATTAATTCTTAGGATATACCAAAGTTTCTTCCCCAGCCCTGTGCCTTAACATCCTATTCTTCTGCCTGGAATACTTCTCTCCAGGCTCTTCCTGTGACCAGCTTCCTCTGACTCCAGACGACCACCCCATCTGCAACAGACACTCTGAATCATTATTCCCTCTCACAGCACCCTGCTTCTTTTCTCCACAAAATTCATTATAATATTTATGTCTTGTTTATTAATTTGTTTATTGTCTTTCCCCACTAAAATGTCTGCCTCAGTCACCGTGCTATCCCCAGCATCTAGGACAGTACCTGGCACATAATGGGCCCTCAATAAATAATAAATACAATTTAGGATGCCCCTTTACAAGGGGACACTGACTACACTGTACCAAGAAGGAGACAACTAGAACGAAAAGGGCTAGAAATCCTGACACTGAGGGACTGATGAAGGAACCAGAAACATGGAGCCTAAGGAACTACAGGCTAAATAAAAATATTCAAATTATCTCCAAACATTTGAATGCTCTCATATAAAGAATTATGTTCCACATATCAAAAACAAGCATCAATTGGCCAAAGTTTCAAGAAGACATATTTTGAGTCTATATATAAAAACAACTTTATCACAACTAAAACTTTTTAACCATGAAATGCACTGTTTCATTAGTTCCCCACTACTGAAGTTATCCAAGTGGCTGAGTGGTTATTCATCAGAGATCCTGAAAATAGAACTTCTATACTAAGAAGTTATGAGTAGGGAAAGTTGACCTACAGATCCATTCAGATTCCAAGAATGTATAATTCTAAGCATACAGGCAATGTTTAATTTCAGTTTACAAAGGGGTCAATGGCCATTATCACCTTACATTTAATGTATTTATTCAACAAACACAGACTGAGCAACTAATCAACAAATCACTAGTTAGCCCTATGAAGGTAAACAAAAACAAAGCATGATTGCTACTCCATCTTGAAGAACTATAGCCTAGGAAAGGAAATAAGACAATTATGACTCAGGATAGAATAAAGTAAGTGCCATAAGTAAGGCACAAAGTGCTTTAGTTAAGGTTTTTCCTGCATAATTGATTTTGTTATATCCGAAAATAAACCCAGTCCACACGTTATAAAACCTGCAAATAATTCCCAGGGTCAAGGCACAGGTTTTATGCAATACTTCTGATGACTGCAAGGCAAGCTGCTTTAGAACCTGAACTTGGAGGCAAGTAATCATTAGAGTAGATATGACTAAAGAGATAAATTCCCCACCTAATAATTTTAAATCTAATAACACTTAAAAATTGTATTTCTGAACAAAAAATAATAATAAAAAATAGAAATTGCATGATCTCTGCCTCCAAAACAATTTGAAATGATGACCCAATACTTTACTTGAAAAATTCTAACTATACGAGAAATGTAACAAATCCTTTAAATTTATCTCCTGGTTTTCTTTTATTCCTTTATCTATGATCTGATAAAACATAGTTCTGGGGAAATAAGCCTAAATAGGTAAAAGCTAGAATAGCTATAAATTTATATTTTACAAAGGAGATTTAAGTGAACTGATTTAAATACAAACCAATCTTACTCCACATTCCAAGGAAAGGTCTCATACTCTCTACCTAAGTACATGGCTTTTTTTTTTTTGTAGTTTTACCATATTTGTGTATACATTATAATTACAATGGAAGACAAGTGAGACAGGATCCAAATTATGCTTGCTTATGTACTGACACACACAACTTGTTACATCGTCCCCCAAATTTGGATCATTTCAGCAGTGATTATTTGGTAAATTAGATCCTAGCATTTCAGACACAGGAGGGCCCTTAAAGATGGCTAGCTCATAATATTTTGCTGTGTCTTAATACGTGGTTTTTTAAGCAAGTCAGTATATTTAACCAAAATAAATACATCAATAGCAAAAGAATGCAAGATGTCTAGCACCACTGCATTCTAAAAATAAGATCCTCTAAATCCATCATGGTGCTTAAAATGAACATTTTTACATAATAAAAATGCTGACAGCAAAATAAAGCATTTAGCTCAAGAGGCAGAAAAAAGCAATAAACAATTGTATTTTTGAAAAAGGAAAACTAGCAATTTTATGAAAACCATGGCAAAGGGTTTTACGAAAGATTATGAATACAAAAAGGGCATTAGACAGAAGTCAAGTCTCTAGGCTGTAGGAAATACACACAGCTACTCAACGTACCGCAGTCCGAAGGCATTGGTGCTGCAGAAATGGAAAAAACAACTGGTGTCTCAGAACCTGGAAATAAAAACGGGTATCTTCCAATCAAAGACTTTCCTTCTACTGGAAAATCTGCAAGGTCCTCTATGGTCATCTTCTAGAAAGCCACCTTTAATGAGAGAGAGAAAAAAAGTCAATCTATTACATTTGTATGCAGGTTAGAATGATTGACTTCTATCACAATAAAAGCATACTTTCTTTTAATATATAACCTACCGACATTTTTTTAAGATTTTATGTTTTAAAGTAATCTCTACACCCAGCATGGGACTCGAACTTAGAACCCTGAGAGCAACTGTCACATGTGTCCCCGACTGAGCCAGCGAAGCATCCCAACCTACTGACACCGTACACTTCAACCTTCAAGAATCTCTTTCAGAGGGACACCTGGGTGGCTCAGTTGGTTGGGTCGCTGCCTTCAGCTTAGGTCGTGATCCCAGCGTCCTGGGAACAAGTCCCGCACCGGGCTCCTTGCTCAGCGGGGAGCCTGCTTCTCTCTCTGCCTGCTTGTGCTCCTCCCTCTCTCTCTCTCTGACAAATAAATAAATAAATGAAATCTTTAAAAGAAAAAAAAAATCTCTTTTAGAGAGGAAGGGGAAAACAAAACTTCCTTCTAGCAAACTGTTGAATATATGTTGCTTCCTACCTCTCTTACAGACATGTAATCTTTTTAGACAAAGCCCGGCAGTAATAAAAAGCTATGTATTACCCAATAATAGCTGAAATTTTTTTAAAAGCTGAGTTAATCTAAATGGGTGAAGTTCTCTTTACTCATAGTAACGTAGGGACATAATATCCCTTGTAGATATATCTCTATCTGACACAGATTATATTACCTATCATCCAGTAATAGCTCTTATCGTATGCTCATCACATGAAAATCATCTACTTTAGAATGTTCTCGTTGTTTTCTGAAATCCCAGAAAACTTCACTGAAAATGAATTACATCGCTTATACAAGACCTAAGAGCTTACTGGTATTGTTCACTTCTTACCAGTGTACAAGACCTCTTCAGTCTACCCCAGCAGGAGCTGGAAGGCCATGCTTTGTAAACCACATCATTTATTTTACCTTCTTCCCAGGGAGCATGAGAGCTTAGAATCAATGTGCTCTAAAGTGGACCGCTGTTGCAGCCTAGCTCATTTGGAAATGGCACAGAAAGCAGAGAAAATGTTAGTAAACTTGAACTAGAAAGGCAAAAAAGCATCCAGTTTCTTCTGTACCAAATCTTTAAAGTCTGAAGTATTGTGAATCTGTGTATGTTTTAAATATAAGCAAAAAACCATATTTCAAAAACTAAATAAAAATTATTTTCAACCATCTTAGTAGAAAGAATAAATCAAGATAGTTAACTACTAGCTTACTCTACCAGCTAATGCCGTGCCACATATTACCCAACATGTGTTCAATTATACTTCATTCGCCAGTCCTGTATCTAACGTAACCATCTTTACTCCACCATCACCACGCTGTGCCAAAGAACAGCCACCTGTGTGAGCCAGCTGGTTCCTTGCCAACTTGACTCATCTGTTTTCTGAGAATAGCAGGAACTGGTCAAGAGTATGGTGATTTCTTTTTCTCATGAAGTACACGTTTTTATGGATGTGTGGATATTCTGTATTAAAGGACCTAACCCAGTGTTAATTATGTTAAAGGAACTCAAGTTCTCTTGAATGCTAAAGTTACTTGCTGCCCAATACTTTGAATCATTTTGATGGTAACTCTGCCACATAAACAGGGAGACAATAAGGAACTGGTACCACACAGCAAGGTGATCTTCCTCAAATACTTCAATTCCAAAAAGTAACACACACCCCTAAGACGGCCCTTCTTCAATATTACGGCTTCTCAGTGCTAAAAGTAACTTGGGATTTCTACGTTTTGGCCTCTCCTTCCTTGGCAGTAAATTTGGGCAAACTGTTCTAAACAGCGTATGAAGCTTCCTTTGAAGTCAAGGAACAGAGGCAGCTCTTCTGTGCATGGGTCCTGTCCCTGTGCTTTAATAAAACTTACCTCTTTGGCACCAAAAATAAATAAGTAAATAAAAATAAGAAAAAGTCAAGGGACAGAAACAAAGCTCAGTAACTATTAAGGAACCACTATGTACAAAGCACCACACTGTTCTAGATATTTCAGAGAATACAAACATGAGGAACAGAGAGCCCATGCTTGCTCGGTAGCTTACCATCTACTAGGATGAATAAAATAACCACGGACAATGAGAATGGGCTACATTCTATAACATAAGGGCAAGGAACAATTGCCATGGGGGCCCCTGACAATCAGAAATGGTCCAATGAAGAAAGCATCTCCCCAGATGGGTCTTGAAAGATGAGTGGGCAGACACCAGGGCAGAAATTTAAAAGACGAGCACGCTGAAGAAACTGTGGGCTGGAACTCGGGCAGTCTAGGCACACCGTTAAGCAGGAAGGCTGTAATGGTTTTTAGGACTATAGTTGGGAGTATTTTATATACCTGATCGAAGGCCAAACCACTTAATTCCATAAGCACTGGAAACCCCTGATTTTTTAAAGGGAGAGTGTCCTGATTCAAACTGTGTTTTAGGAAGATTAATCTGACTGCAATCACACTTTGGAACTCAGGTGTGTTTTTTTATACTCCCAATTCTCCAGCCAAGTGATTAAGTGGCTATGTTTCTGAACTGGTTAAGAGGAAGCCACCTTTAAAAACCTCCCTTTCAAAGGGTAGAGCTTCTCATCCAAAAATGTTTTTTGAACGAGATCCTGAGATCACCTGTCATTTCCCTGCAGGCTATGGAGATCCTTAAAGAACTGTATCTTATACAACTACAACTCGCCACAGGAGCTAGACTTAGCTAGTGTCTTACACCTATTTATCACTCAAATCCTCGACTCAGGGTGGAAAGATGACTCATTGAACAAGATGTAATAAATGTCGTCATTTTGTATGTTAGGTACTTTAAGCCCAGAGAAGCTACAATATCACCTGATCGATGTACAGAACATTCTTTGTACTTTGTGTCTGCATTGCATTTTTCCTAGTCCCATTTCCTTTCCTTTATGAAATACTCACAATTCTACCTTTTGCCCACTTAAGAAAACTGCACACCTCTAAAAACCTTGGTCAAGTTTTAGAATCCTTTCTGCAAGCAGTCTCTGGATCTGAAGATCTAGGACAACTGGGATCTGGATCAAACTTAGTCAAACCAGAATCCAGTTCTCCAAACTGATTCAAACAGGAATCCCATCCTACACCATTACCCCCCAAACCAGCTCTGAGTAAATGCAACTTGTAACATGGCTCTAGTAGCTCATTTTCCAAGGATTCCTGGCCCATTCCTTAACACAGAATGGTGGTGAGTGGAGATGCCTAGTAATTTCTTCAGAGTGGTTCAGGGCTAGTAGGCCTCACTAAGACACCTCACTGAGGTCAAGAGACTCTGTTGGTTTTATCTGGAATATGGTTCAAAGGCAGCATCTCTGAGCTACTCAATGAACACAGTATCTAAGCTGTGTCCACACAAGTTGGAATCATGAGGCCTTTCTGTTCAAACTCATATTGTATCTTGCCATGAGTCTTTATATTCACTAGACTCCCAGGAAAGTACTATAACTGAAATAAGCATTTAAAGCCTATCTCTAAGTATCCTTTAAAAATTAAAAATAGAAAAAAAATAAAAAATAGAATTACTACATGACCTAGTGATTCCACTACTAGGTATTTAATCAAAGAAAATGAAAACACTAATTCAAAAAAATATATGCACCCTGTGTTTATTGAAGCATTATGTACAATAGCCAAGATGTGGAAACAACACAAGGGTCCATCCATAGATGAATGGATGAATGGATGAATGTGTGTGTGTGTGTGTGTGTGTGTGTGTGTGTGTGCGTGCGTGATATTGGTCATAAAAAAGAATGAGATCTTGGGACGCCTGGGTGGCTCAGTTGGTTAAGCAGCTGCCTTCGGCTCAGGTCATGATCCCAGCGTCCTGGGATAGAGTCCTGCATCGGGCTCCTTGCTCAGCAGGGAGCCTGCTTCTCTCTCTGCCTCTGCCTGCCATTCTATCTGCCTGTGCTCGCTCTCTCTCCCTCTCTCTCTGACAAATAAATAAAAAAAAAATCTTTAAAAAAAAAAAAAAGGGAATGAGATCTTGCCATTTACAACAATATGGATGGGCCTAGAAGGCATAATGTTAAGTGAAATAAGTCAGAGAAAGACAAATACCATATGATTTCATTCAAATGTGGAATATAAGAAACAAAAAGGAACAAAAAAGGGAAGAAGGTTCAGGGAGGTGGGAGCAAAAAGAAGAAAGGAAGGAAGGAAGGAAAAATGCTTAAATGCAGGGAACAAACCAGTGGTTGCTAGAGGGGAGTTGGGTGGGAGGTGAGTGAAAAGGATAAAGAATATTAAGAATATACTTACCATGATGAGCAATGAATAATATACCAAATGTTGAGTCATATATATATATATATATATATATATATATATATATACACACACACACATATATATATATACACATATATATAACACTGTGTGTTAATTATACTTTAATAAAAGATGATAAAAATGATTTATGTAGAATCTCCTGTTACCCATTTATTTTTTACATACATGCATCCGTTCAATCACTAAACAGGTATTTGCAGTATTTAATACTTAGCTGACTCTGGGCCCTAGAGAGATTATAAAAGACACCTGCCCTCAAGAAGTTCATTTAGTCACTCAACAAACATTTACTCAGAATTTCTAAGTTCTAGGCTGAAGCAAAGGGAAAGAAAAAAGCTATGCCCTTGTCCTCATACAGATTAGGGCCTAGTACAGGATTCCTATAAGAAAGCTGTAAGTACTATATAGTTGTAACAAGTGCTGGATTCAAGAAGGCCAGTGGAAGCTTCCTGAAGGACTAAAAATTTATAGCTGTGGTGTCCAAGCAGGTGGCTTCTAGACACATGTGGCTATTTTTTTTTAAGATTTTATTTTATTTATTTGACAGAGAGAGAGAGATCACAAGTAGGCAGAGAGGCAGGCTCCCTGCTGGGCAGAGAGCCCGGTGCGGGGCTTGATCCCAGGACCCTGAAATCATGACCTGAGCCGAAGGCAGAGGCTTTAACCCA